AAAAAAAAAGAGTGCATCGTCCGTGAATCGAACACGGGCCTCGTCGATGGCAACGACGAATTCTACCACTAGACCAACGATGCTGTGATAGACCATTCGGCTATCTAGCTTCTTATGAGTATTTTTGTAATTTAATGCTTTATAATTTAGTTTTTTAGTACTAGTGATATACATGCTCAATGAAGTCCAATGCTCATACTACTGCCGAAGAGCATGTTCTACGGAGTACATTATCTATAATGAAGAAAATCCTGATATTTCTGCACAATAAGAGCGTCTATGAGCCACTGACCCCCGTATCAGCCGGCAAACCCTTCCGCATAGCCGAGTCATCTTATCTGATCCCCCACCTGACATGGTGTGGGTCGCATAATCCCTTGTGTTCCGAAATGCTACTCTTTTCTACAAATACCGCTGATTTCTTTGAGGGGAGTTTGTCTTGCAGAGTATTGTACGACTGGCTCTATTCACGAATACAGGATGGTTACTTTTGATAGCACAAGACTAGATACGAGACAAGGACAACGTGCGGGATTCTCCGAGACTTCACCCTTGATCGAGCACGGACTCGACTCGAATAAGCACCATGACCAACATTATGAACCAGAGAGCAACACAAATCTACCCGGGTCCAGCGCACCAGGCGTAACCCGTATCGAGTCTTTTTCCTCCAGTCTTTCCGTGGTAGAGCAGGGATATATATTAACGGGCATCCTCATCATCGGCTGGTCCTATGGTTTGGATGGTCTCCTGCGGTCTACATACCAATCATACGCCGCATCCAGTTTCGGAGTGCACACGCTGTTATCGACGATTAATGTCCTGAGGAGTGTGATCGCGGCTGCTGTTTACCCACCGGCAGCCAAATTAGCCGATGTCTTCGGTCGGTTCGAGCTCATAGCGGTGTCGGTTGTATTCTATATCGTCGGGACTGTTCTTGAGAGCACAGCGTCGTCAATCCAAGCGTTCATTGCTGGTGCCATACTTTATCAAACAGGGTATACATGCATCATCCTGCTCGTTGAGGTAATCATAGCCGACATCACGTCTATGCGCTCCCGTGTCTTCTTCAGCTATGTTCCTGCGATACCGTTTTTATTCAATACATGGCTCAGTGGGAGTCTTGCTTCCGCAGCCTTGAAAGTTACAGACTGGCGATGGGGGATTGGCATGTGGGCTCCTATTTATGCCGTTTCTGCGACCCCGTTGCTTGTTGGGCTACACAGGACGAGTCTCTATGGAAAGAACGGTGGTGATAACCATGACAACCAACAGACGACACTCCGTGCAAAAGCCGTCGAGATCTACCATCAACTCGATATCATCGGTATCAGCCTCATGATGGCCGTGTTGATCCTCATCCTGACACCCCTCACCCTGGCTGAAGGACAACTCTCCCAATGGCGTAGTCCCAGCATCATTACCCCATTGATCTTCGGCTGCTTATGCATACCAATCTTTATCTACTGGGAGTCACACGGTGCCAGATACCCCTTTATCCCGGGTCACCTTCTCAGAGACCGCGGCGTAGGAACCGCTCTCGCCGTACGCTGTCTGCTCAACATCGCCTGGGCCGTTCAAGGGAACTACCTCTACACGGTACTCATCGTGGCATTCGACTTCTCCGTATCCCTCTCAACCCAAGTTTCGTCGTTCTTCACCTTTTTCGGCGTCGTCAGCGGCTTGATCATAGGCGTGGTTATCTTTCGCGTGCGAAGATTGAAATACTTCGTCGTCACCGGGACCGTCCTCTTCATGGTCTCTTTCATCCTCCTGATTAGATTCAACAGCGGCACATCACAAAGCGCAGCAACCGGGATGCTCAGCGCGCAAGTGCTCCTGGGCCTCGCAGCGGGTTTCTGCGCATACCCAACACAAGCCTCGATTCAAGCAACAACAAGCCACAAACACGTCTCTGCGTTGACAGGCCTCTATCTTGCCTCGTTCAACATCGGGAATGCACTTGGAACCTGTCTTTCAGGCGTAATATGGTCTGAGAATCTCCTTCCAACGCTCGAATCGAACTTGAGCTTTCAATCCAACAAAACACTCGCACAGGATATCTACAAGTCCCCGTTCGAAGTTGTACCGAACTACCCCGCTGGTACGGAAATACGCTCTGCTATTATTAATAGTTATGGACATGTGGAGAGAATGCTTTGTATTGCAGGGGCTTGCTTGTGTGTGCCGATGATTGGGTTTGCGTGCGCGATGTTGGATCCGAGATTGTCGAGTAGGCAGAGTCAGCCGGAGGCTGAGAGGGAGGAGTGATTTTGACGGTTTGGATATGAATGATTATGATTTATGATTTTTGCATTCTAGATTGGTATATGTGAATTGATTTCGAGATACATCTGATGCTTGGCATATGCACAGCCTCTTTCTGTTTCTGTGCATGCTTCGCTTACTCCTTTTGCTCATCCTCAGACTGGTGGCACCAAAGGCGTCAGCGCCATTATATCGAAATGATACACAACCACCACTGATACTCTCAAGCCTGGCCCTCCTCACCATCAACCCTTGTTCTCTTTCCATCCCTTCCCGCAAAACAGACCAACATCCCCAAATCATAAACCCCCTTCAACCCCCCGGCCACACAAAACGCCACTCCAAGATGCCCCCTCGCCCCCAGAACCCCTGTAATAAACGGCGCCACGCTCTGACTCGCCGTCTTGACCACATTAACCGCACCCATGATCGCCGTGCGCTTATCTGCCGGTAACGCGGTGGCTAGGAATGCGGAGCGAGGGGCGACGTCCATGCTTTGCGTTGAGGCGCGGAGGATGAGGAATGTTAGGGATGGGAGGAGGGTTGTTGGGAGGGGGATTAGGGAGAGGAAGATGGTGGAGGGGAAGTGGGTGAAGACCATTGTCTGTTTTCGTAAGCATTTCCCCAGTATTACGGTGAGTGAATAGTTTTTGAAATGGGGGAAGGTACCTTGACGTTGCCGATGCGCTTGGAGATGGAGGATGCGACCAGCATTGAAATGGAGCAGATGATGCTGGTTGTGAAGAAGATGGAGGCGAGATTTCCTTCGGGGAGGGAGAATTTGTTGCGAAAGAAGTAAGTCATCCAGGACCTGCGTTGTTAGCATAGTTCAGGGGGAGGGAGTTGGATGACTTACATCGATGCTAGCCCGGAAGCAAACGAGTCCACGGCAAACAGCACGAATAGCTTAGTGATTAACGGAACAAGATCCCTGTCGAGAGAGACACGGAACCAACTCTTCTTCGGAGGGTTCCCATGCTGCGCTTGAACGGAAGACAAGGACTGCTCTGCCAGCAAGGGCTGTGTCTCATCAACACCCTGCTGCTCCCCCCCAGGAGCCTGTCTAGCAACGGCTTCAACTTCCCCGCTCAATCCCAACGTAAACAAAACCTTCAGCCCACCAAGCGCAGCATATAAAAAGTAAACCATCCGACAAGTAGCAGTAAATTCCCACCCCTTGAGCTCCCGCAGCAAATGAATAGCCCATCCACAAGTCATAATCCCCAGCGCCGTGCCACCGGTACCGAGGAGTGAGTACCACGCGAAGATATCAGGAAGGACCTCGTCGGGGGTTAGATGCGCGAGGGTTGATTCTTCTACTGCGCGGAAGGGGCCGATTTCGTTTCCACTGCTCAATTAATAACATTCTCATGGAGGAATTGATATCCAAGGGAAGACACAGGAGCTTACCTCGGACTAATGACCCCAAATACCGCCGCCAGCAAAAGAACCCAAAAATCCCCAAAAAGCCCAAAAACAACCCCACTGGCCGCCATCAACCCCGACCCAAGAACTAGAACAGCCTTCCGCCCCATTTTGTCCGCGAAAAGCGTCAGAAAGAAACTAATGACCACATCCCCGACCAGAGTCAGTGTCATGAACAAACCAATCCGGTCATCGGAAATGCCCAGAGCAGACAGATAAGACGCCAGAATGAGGGTTGAACCACCATAGGCAAAAAGCCGGACGAAGCGCTGCGCAATGAGCAATTTGACATCGGACGAGGATTGGAAGACGGTAAGGAGACCGAGCTCACGGAGGATATGCGCGAGATAGCCATCCCGGCAGGGCTCGGCTTGGGATGAGGACGTCCTCATGGCTTGGTGTATTGTTACTAGATTTTTGATAATTGTGGGAATTACGGCTTTATATTAATGTCAAGCGACTGTCATTGATTCTAGGCACCAGTGTAATGCTATCTCGGTGAAAAATGGATCCAGGATTTTTCTCCGAGTGTTGATCTCCGGGAAACTACAATCTCCGATGGATCGGGTCGGGGTTGCTCTATTTCAGCCCTACGCCTTGGCAGGCTATGTATGATTTCAAAGCAACTGGTTATATATATCTGATGTTCGACATTGACTAGTATTAGTCACAATGCAAAGGCGTCTGGCTAGTCATTCCATCATTCAATAATCAACAATTCAATCGGGTATCTTGTGACTTCATGCAAGTATGGCCTTTGAGTAGAGGCCATATAGGTGACTAGGTGTCACGGGCTCAATAGCTAGAAGATATTAACGAATTGATATTCCTATCTAAACCAACTAGTAGCCATCGACGAGAATATCGAATCTGGAGAAGAAAAGAAAAATAGAGGCAGGTCTATTTACGTGAAGAAGTCCCATATGGTTGTGTGTGGTCTCGCTAAGCAGCTTGTTTGTCTTGATTGCTTCCATGGTATTGTTTGCCGTGTTGATGACATTTGCTTATGAAGGCGCTGGGCTGAGCCGTTACACTAGGGTCTATGAGTGATTAAGGATGATAAGACGTAGGGAAATAGTAATCTACTACTAGACAAGGAACTAGGGTATTGGATTAGGAATAAACCCAATAGAACAGCCCCAGCCAATCAAAGAAGGAATTGGATCCATTCTAGCTTTATACTGATAAGAAGTAATTATGTGCTAGAGTTGAGCCAATGAAAATGATCCTCCACCTTGCACTCGGTGCTGCAGAGATTCACCCCGTTAATGAAGTGTGCTGGGGATTAATCCTGCACTTATATGCACCAAGATCTGATTTTCAGAGAATCAGCTGCTGTTGTCCGATTCAGGGCGGGTTGAACCTTGCCCTGCCTCATTCGCCGGTGGATCTTACTTGCACCCACTGCGCATCAGAACTCAGTTAAGATAAAACCAACTGATCAGCCAAGGAGATTAGCGACACTAGACTTAACATCCATGGTGTTTGTGGTATGCTCTTACAAAAAAATGAAACATCAGTCTCGAACTAATATTGACACAACCACTGATCCCAATTAACCTATATTTCAAGTCTCGGACGATATCAAAGCTCATGAGTCTGTGCTTCAGAATTTAATCAGTGTGTTTTCACGTATATTTGAGCAAGTAGTGGATGCGTGGGATTTCCCTGAAAGGAGCAATATCTGGGTATCCTTAACCGGGTACTATGTGTCAAAAAGAACATATTCCAGGTGTCACGGGCTCGGAATAGTAGATAATAACGAACTGAATTCCTATCTAGACTATTGTAGCCATCGACGAGAATATCGAATCTGGAGAAGAAAAGAGAAGAGGAAATCTATCTAGGTAATGAAGGGGTTTTATAGAGGTTGTTGCCGACATGGTTGAGTAGCAGCATTTGCGATGTATCATTCATTGCTGCAGTGTTGAGCCGTCATATATGAGCCGTCATATATGAGTCGTCACACCAGGTGGGTTGAGTATATAGATCTCGAAGTATGCGATGATCAAAGTCTTACTATACTGCCTTGAAAGAGAAGCTTCCGAGGCAAAGGAGAACGCTTCATATGCTAATGCTAATGCTATTTTCGATGGGCTTGTAAATCTTCAGAAAGACTCAAAGTGTGCTACCTGCCTGCATTTTATGCATTTTAGTTGGGAAATATTTTTGCTGATGAACCATAGCTATTTGACAATAAACTTCCACAAGCTAGGTTTGTCGATGTTGTGGAGGAAGAACATAACGAAGACGATGAAGATAACAAGGAACAGAGTATAGAAGAAAAGTCTCATAATTTTCCCTTGCTGGCCGATCAGGAGTTGGCCTGCCTGAGGCCATGGCAGTGACCCAAGTGACCGGAGAACTGGAAGATTGCCGGGCAATTCGCTCTAGAAGGGTTGACTCCTAACCCCTCTGCGAGAATGATGGAGAGCCTCAAGCTTGGTATTCAGGTACCTTTCTTGTGGCCCAAGATGGCCGAGCTCCTGCCTACTATGCATCCAACTATGATTGTTCTTCAGATACGTTTCAATTATCAATTACTTCATGCTCCCTATATGAGTATATTGCACTACTAGCATAGGGTGTGGAAAGCACATCCGCCTAGCCGTATTTAAACCACATGTGATAGTCAATAGTTATTTTTGCCTTTTTCTCATTGCCACTCTTTAGGGTGAGGTCTACCAGTTGAGCTTATCTTATCTCCTATCTTATCAATTGACGCCATTTTCCCCAGGAATAGCGATATAACTACCGAAGTTAGTCTCTCCCCATCAACCGTTTTCATATTCATACAACTGTATAGAGTAGCAGACTAGAAATGCCGCCCGATAGAGGTCGAGCCTCGCGTGCCTGCGCCTCCTGCAGAAAGCAAAAGACTCGATGTTATGAATCTGGGGTACCTGGAAGACCGTGTTTGAGATGTGAACGGCTTCGCCAGCGGTGTTCATTTGTCCAGACTCCACCATGGGGCTCCGAAGCTGCAAACAATGATACCGATGCCAGGTTTGTAGATTTTTTTTTTTTGTCAATGCCGAGGATTCTGAGCTAACCTGGCCTAGATTAGCTCGACTCGAACAAAGCCTCGGTGCTCTACTGGAGCGACTGGGGGAGGACTCAACTAGTATAACACAACCGACAACCCATCCTAGCACAGGGATTTCAGTAGCTGCATCATCTTCAAATGATACAGGACCATCATCAAAACCAGACTACTCATCAACTCCCCCCGTTATGGTCATCCGAGATCTTGCATCGGATATTGGGATTAAGTCACTTGATACCAGCTCCCAGGTCGTCGGACTGGACGGGTTAATAGCACCTGATCTGGCATTATCACTTTTCGCTATGTGAGTTCGACACTGGGTAGCCTGTGGACTTGAAACTAAGCCACACAGCTTCTTAGAACACTACGGCCGATGGGTCCTGTTAGACCCGGAAGGCGATCCTAAAGCCTTACTCGGAAGAGTCAGTCGGTCTCCGTTGCTCCTATGTGCTTGCTTCTTAATCGCTGTCCGGCATACGACTGAGGCTCTGGCAACCAGCCTCGCTCCAAAGCTCTACCAATGTGCTCAATCGCTGATTTCCGCTGCACTGCTGGTCGCGCCGCAGCCGATCGAGTTTTTCCAGGCGGCCCTTGTGCTCTCCATGTGGTCGACAACTGTGGGCCAAGTGCCGCTGAGCCTTGACAGTTGGCTCCTAAGTGGGTTTTCCCTGCAGCATAGCCAGTCTAGTCCGCTGTTCGATCTGATCAATAATGCTGGACCGACAACACAGCTCTCGAAAACAACCCTTGACGACTGGTGCTTGTGGAATCATTTATGTTTGGTGCATCTTCACTACTGCGTTGGCACAAGCCGCAAATCTATGTTGCATGCCTCGCAGATAGCGCGCTGTCGAGCCATTCTGGGCTCTGACCATGCCACAAATTACGAGTTGCGCATGGTAGCGGAGATATATCTCTACTGGACCGTTTACGAGAACGTCTCCAGCGATGCCACCGATCTATTGAAAACTATCGCTCATTTGCAGGACTGGAAGAAAGAGTGGCAATTTGTTTTGTGTATGTCACCAACCCACAACAAGACCAACAAGACCACTAACAACACAGTACAACCACGCGCGCAATTCCTCCTCATGGGCTTCCACTTCGCTCACCTCCTTCTTTATGACCAGTCCCTCAAAACAAAAACCGCCAGAGCCCGTGAATCCGTGCTTTCGGAGATGATTCGCCACTCCACGTATATAATCCACCTGGCAATCGACACAACTGATGAGCGAACTCGCCATCTGAGCGACCACATCTACCACATGATCACCTTCGCTGCGATTATCATTTGCCGCTTGTTAAATGGATACGCGGAGCAGGTGTCTCTGAGTCATAATATTGCTGAACTGGATTCGTTGATCCTCAGTCTGGTGGCATGGCTCCAATCCATTGGACTTCCCTGCCATGCTGCACATACCCTAGGGAATATTATTGCGAAGGTTCATCAGAAGGTGCGACCTGGTGCGGAGCAACCACAGTGTCCCGAACAGAATGAGTATTGGCTGGGAGGGGACCTCTTGGGTCACTTTCCGGAGTTTCTGGGAGTGGAGCCTACGGCGGATGGGAACTGGGATTTGTTGCCGAGTTGGGGACTAAGTCCTTGAAGCCTTCTATAGTTGTTGGAGAGCATGCGTATGAGAAATACATTCTGAGCCTGGAGACAAGAAGACAAACGATATGACTCTAGACAAGAAAAGTCCTAATGTGGAATATGTAAACCCAAAGTGACAGTTATTCTGATCATTTAAAGGAGAACATTTAGCCAGCCTTCAACCACGGTACCTCCTCCGGTCGATACTTGTACGCCCGGAAGATGGCATTACTCTGATATGCAAAGCCCATCTGTTCCATCTCGTGCAACTCACCCTCCGCCATGATACCTTTATAGTCATTCAACTGCGGCACAACAAATTCCCATACTGTCGCCCCCGTCTCCGTGACCTCGAGTATCCGGCCCGTGGCAGCCTCACACAACAGCACATTCCCACTCGCCAGCTTCTGTGCAGATCCCATGAACGGCGTGAAGAAGCCGATCCCGCCTGTGCAGCGGTCTTTGTACTCCCAAATAATATCCTTAGTCGCGCGAGAAACAATTATCGCCCGTGAAAACGGTACCGCGATGCCAGGCCGATAGACCCCATTGTCGAAGATCAGGATATCACCCGAGGAGAGCTCCTGCGCACAGTGCTGCTGGCTGACGACTGGGGAGGCCAAATGCCAGAGGATCTGGCCCGTCTGGCGGCTGATAATGATGACCCCTGATGTGCTGCGCAGAGAGGCGACAATGTTTCCCGCGGAATCAAACGAGACGCTGTTAATCAGCGGCCAGTGCTCACGCGGATAGTCCGCGAGGAGAGGAAAGCGCTGCGGATCCAGATGGTCGATCGCACGCCATGACCACAGCAGCTTTGCGCCGCCCGTACCGCCGCCCTCAAAGTCTGCTGCTGACGACCGAGTCGATTCACTCCAGGGACTGACCAGCTTGATACAGTCTGCGTATACCGTTCCGCCAGGTGCCTCACTCCCTGGTATGCCGCCCTGTACGCGTACGGCCTCGTCAGCCGTCAGCGGCTCCAGCGTTGTATACAGCAGATTCCCGTCGTCGAGATGGTTCTGGTCGTGGTGGGCCCGTGGATCTTGGTATTCCCGCAGGATCTCTCCACTGGGGGATACCTGCATCATAACCCCCCCGCGATATTTCGCCCACATCTGGAACATCTTCGGCGGGTCTGGGTGCACCCCGTTGTAGGCTAGGTTGCCGTCAGGCAAGAAGCGCGCGTGGCGACCCGCACGGTAGGGCAGGGCCCATCGGTGGAGTTCTTCACCGGATGTTGAGATGAGGTGCACGGTGTTAGAGGTGAGTGGTGTGTATAAGACGTAGCCGGGGGAGACGCGATCAGGGTCAACCCCTTGGAGGGCAAGACCGCGGCGGCGAAGGGTGTGTTGTTCCATGTGGTTTTGTGTATTTGGTGAAAAGAACAATTGAAATGATTCAGTAAATAAGCAGAATTTTCCTAAGAGGAATAACGTGGGTTATATATCCGGGGATTTGGAAAATATCGTGCCCTAATCCAATCGACCGGCATGCCGCGGCATCTCCGCGGTAAGATAGGATTCAAACCACAATAAAGCACGCCATAGATATGAGAACAAATATGCAGTGATGATACTATCGGTATACCGCGGAGACTCTTGTATATCAGTTCATGTAAATATGGAGTCCTCTTTGATTTTGTCAGTTATCTCTGTCGCCCACAATGGAGTTAGTCTCAACACACCCGGAGGCCCCTCAGAAGGGCACATTGGCCTTCAACGCATCCGAGGAAAAGGAGTCATCATGGATGCAGTTACTTTCTATTGAAACAGGGGGAATTCAACGGGTAACGGATGATGAGCGGCAAGTGAATACAACCAAGTTTTGGAACGCGTGCACTTTCTGGTATGATCCCTGCTGAGAACTGAGTTATGGGTTATTAATGTGACAGGTTGAGTGCAAATATGGCCATTGCGACGCTCAACACTGGGGTACTTGGTGGCTCTATGGGCCTGTCCTTCTGGGACAGCTTCATTGTGATCCTGATCGTGAATCTCTTCAGTGATCTTCTTCCTGCCTGGACAGCAGCGTTCGGCTTGACGGGGCTGCGCATGACCACCTTTTCGTATGTTGGACATCCTCCTGTTATCACACCATGTTGACAATAGGATGTAGACGATATTCCTTCGGATACTGGGGTAACCTTCTCGTCGTGGTCTTCTCCATGATTGCCACGACCGGCTGGAACGCCATAAACAGCATCTCCGGCGCCGTGGTGCTCAACGCCGTCTCGGATGGAAAATGCCCAACCTGGGCTGGCGTCATCATTATCTGCATGGCCGTCTGGCTGATCTGCCTCCTCGGTATTACTTGGATTCACCACTTGGACAGCATCATTTGGATCCCGATGCTGGTCGTCTGGTGTGTTGCTGCAGGAACCGGTGCAAAGCACTTCACCACTGCAGACGTAAAAAAGTTCGCTACGTACGAGGACCATGCAGCTGCAATTCTGTCTTTTATGGCTGTCATCTTCTCCTTCTCCATCTCGTGGGTCAACTGTGCTGCGGACTACAATGTGCGCATGCCGGTGGATACGCCACGATGGAAAATTTTCGGAGCCACGTACGTGGGAATATTCGTGCCATCGGTACTCGTACAGAGTCTTGGAGCTGCACTGTACACTGGCACTATCAGTGGGGTTGGATGGCAGCCAGCATATCATAAGGCCGGCGTGGGTGGACTCTTAAAGATGGCGTTGGAGCCCGCTGGCGGGTTCGGCAAGTTCCTTATGGTTTTGGGAGCGCTGAGCGCTGTTCCGGTAAATAACTATTCTCTATATTCATTTCATTACGTATAACCTAGATGACATAGCTAACCAAGCCCCCAAAGAACAATATCCCAAACAACTACTCATTCGCTCTGCATGCGCAGAACTTCGGTCCTTGGGCGCTCCGCATCCCACGTATTATTCTTGTTACCCTAGGATTTATCGCCGCGGTTATAGTTGGCTGCTGTGCCGCCGTCTACTTCCATGACACATTGCAGACCTTCTTGAGTGTCATCGGCTACTGGACCGTTATCCACATCACTGTTGTAGCGATAGAACATGTCTTTTTTCGCCATAGCTTAGCTGGCTATGATCTGGATGCTTGGGACAACCCGGGGAGGCTGCCGTTTGGGTGGGCGGCTATCGGGTCTTTCCTGGGAGGGTTCGTGGGCGCTGCGTTGGGGATGAAGGTTGCGTGGTATGTTGGACCGGTGGCGGGGATTGTTGGGAGCGGTGCGAATTTGGGACATGAGTTGACTTTTGGGATATGTGCTGTGATGTTTACGGGGCTGAGGTGGTTGGAGAGGAGATGTAGTGGGAGATGAGATCCGGTCTTATATTGAGGGATTGGTGGCAGCGTTCCAATTAGTCTTCTTCTAGCTGGCTCAGATGCGATTGCGAATTGCACACACCGGATAACTCAGTGCTGGCAGACCCTGTTTTCTTCCTTTCCCTCCCCATATCAGTATTTCATAAGTATTTCATAGGATAATCTACTAATAAATTATTATTGCATGAGACTGTCACACAATGCATTGTTCTTATTTCACGAGCACGATAATAGATCTTGAGGAAGAGCAAGTGAGAATGTTATACTTATTGGAACGAATCGCATACCTGGGATGAATTAAAGCCATAGCATTACCACATCATTTGGGTTTGAATACTTCTGGCATGGGACACATAACAAGTTCTCTGAACATTCCTCCTGGATAGCAATGCTCAACGCGAAGACCTAAAATCATATCTTGCATACTATGTGAAGCCTCGAGCGACCAACTCAATGGGTGATCCAGAAATCCAGCTAGTTTTGACGCAGCAGTGAGTAAGCATAGGAAGACGTACAAGGAAAATTGAGAGAAGGAGCAAAAGAAATATAAAATGGATTAAAATAGGACGAAAGAAAGAAAGAAAGAAAGAAAGAAAGAAAGAAAGAAAGAAAAGTACGAAGGGTGAAAAAGGCCGTTGATGTCGTATCATGTAAAGCTCTTCTCCTCAGCACAATTCATGGCAAGTGGCGCTTGAACTCATGCCAGCGTTCACTGATTGATGATCTTCTCCGGGACATCTCTTCACTCCCCATGAAGTTTTGGGAGTATTGGGAGTCTCGACGTGGCTCCTCGACAAGGTGCTCGACAGGAGGAGGTTGGGTGTCAAATTCACCTGAAGAGGCGGACTCTCGTCTTTTTCGTTCATGGTACCGTCGGGCAGCGGCTTGGAGGCTGGTTTCACCAGGGTTGATCAGGCCTCCCGGAGGAAGACCTATAGCAGGAGTATTGGGGTAGATTCCGGGCATGATTGATTGATGGATGCATGAATGGTTATATATATAATAGGGATATGAGGTACGTGGCGAGGAGGTTTCGGGGATATTTATATGTCAATGTCAGGGAAAGGTAACTTAACCATGGTTCGCTAATTAATCTCGAAACCATGGTTGGGCAATCGCTTTCATGACGATGAAATTGCCGTAGTTTCAGTCATTATAACCGTCGTGCCACACGGGATTCGATACTATCGAGTCTACAGATTATGATTTACGGTGTAGGGGGCGCAGCAGAGAGGGAGCTCGTATATAATCAGATCAGGAGGCAATGTTTCACTAGATCCGGCCATGGATGACTATAAAAATTGACTAGCAGGGATATACAACATATTATTATTATGTGGTTTTAACATATACCTAACAGAGAATTCAAATGCCCAAATTATTACATATTTTCACGGAATCCAAGCTGCCTCCATTGTCACAGGCCCACATAAAAAAAAAAAAAAAAAACAGTTTCCAATATCTAGTGACAGACAATAAATCCATGGTTCAACTTCACCACTTTACCATCGGCCAGTGAGACCCAAGTCTGTTTCGAATTCAAAGTTGCGTCGACATGCGGGTGCGCCTGGACAATCTTGCACACAGTATCCTGATCGAACTGATTGAGCTGGGCGCTCGAGGCGGAAACAGTACCTCCTGCAGCCACAGCAGTATGGCCCCAGAGGGCTTGGATGGGGTGGGGAGAGTTGTCAGTTGGGATTTTGACATTGGCGTTGGCACCAGACTGGTCATTGGCGAGTTGAACTGTCACAGTCTCAACGGGAGGTAAAGCCGTCACGCCGCTGGTCAAGAGGCCCAGGGCGAGAGAAAGTCCACTCAAGAACTTCATTTTGGAGTTGGAATAAGAATAGTGGAGTTGAATTGTAGATATAAAGTGACCAGGAAATCGAAAGTGGATTGGAGATGAGTGACAGGAAATTTCTAGACATGATTTCGGTTGCTATTTATACTTTTTTTTTCTTCTCCTAAGGAGACAGTATACACTACGTTTACAGCAGTTTTCAATAGCACCATGCCATTCGGAGTTGTCCGTGGAGCATCATGTAGAATGAAACCCTATGAGGTCAAACTATGTCCGCAAGCGGACATAGTTTGCTGTCAGGCTCGGGTAGAATTAAACCTTCCCGTTATACGAAGATCAACGTATAAACTTGACATCAAGCAACACGAGCGCACTGGTATTCCAATTGGATCGTTTTTTGACGATGCTGAATACGAAGACAATTTCTAGCGAGCCAGACTCATTACCAGCCGATCTAGAACCACATCGATGGGAACATTCCAACATCCAAGATTTGAATGATCAAATAAGTGAACCAAGATGCTTGAGACGTCATTAAAGTTGCAAAATTTTACAACTATAACCAAATACGTGTGTTGGGAACATTAGTCTTCGCTTTGCTGTAATGCCACTTGAAATCCAATTGCACGCTCCCCGGAAATCAAGGTAGCCGTGGCCCTATGCCAAAGGCAAAAATAAAAAATGTCCAGCATCAGAGCTATTAGCATAAGGAATTTATCTAATTTAAAACCGTCGGAGGCTCAAGGCCACAGGATTTCAAGAATGGGTCGAGACACAGCTACCGAGCGGCGCCTGGCTCCTTGTAGATGGGCAGTATTTCCAAAAAATCTCCTGCTTCGCCATGAGGGAGCGAGAGAGCTGTTTTTTATCCCCAGAGGTAGTCTGCAATATAGCGGAAGATAAGGATTAAAAAGGCTGGCAAGTAAAGAAGTAGCCAAAGAAAGTCAATGGGAAGCCTTGTTTTACCGGGCCCATCAGTATAAAGTGACCTTGTGTTTGTTATTCTTATGTGATTTCTCTCGAATATTAAATGCATGATGCTTTAAAAGGACATGTACTCTCCCTTGTACAATCCTTGAATATATCTCATTCAGTTGCAGATCTACCCACTTGTGGTCGGTACATGGAGCATCTTACGACCTATAGTGCCGTCAAAATTGCATAAAAATTCCTAAAATGGTAGGTCAATGGGGGATGTCACGGTGCCAGCCCGCTGAAACGGGGGAGCTTGGGGCGGTGGTGCCGATTCTCCGGATAACCTTACGAGGCTTATATGACAGCCGAGAGCTATAACGATAGTATCGCGCAGTACAAAATATACGTAGTATTGAAGTTGTCGTATAGTGCTTGCTAAACTAAATAGGAGTGCTTCATTGTCGTGCGGTAAAACCTCTCCGTAGCTCGCTAGGTCCGATATTAATCTTAGAGATATCTCTGTGCCCGAAGCTGATCCTGTTCATCAATTCCTGATATATATCTTTACCTGACCCTGCACCCTGACAGGGGAAATGTAAATAATATTATACACTCGCTGGCGTCTGCTCATGCAATATACATAATTAGGGATACTGTTTAAGAGTAATTTTGGTGGACGTGTCAGCCTGACGGACCAAGCATACACCGCTCATAGCATAGGATGCCAGCATTGCATTACTGACACTGATTTTCCTCACAAATCTAATACATGGCCGGGGAGTACGGGGATATATTATACGCGGAAAATATGTCGCCCGACAGCGCTAAACGTTGCTGGACCTAGTTAATAGCAAAACTTTGATTACTAGGGGCCACTAGTGACCGACATATTTGGACCAGTGCCACCCCAGATGACATCAATTTACATGATACCCATTATAAATTGCAACCATGACCGAGGGATTGATTCAGCACGCCCATGGCTCTAGGGGGTTCAAAGATGGAGATGATTCTCCTACAAAAAATGCTCCAGCAGACCAGGGCAGCTCAGCTGAGGATTGGAAGGGTGTCATAGACAGCAAGTTTCGCAGATAGCTGCAGAACTGGATAAACCGGCGTGAATTCCGTGAGTACTAATACATACTGACATCGATTATCATGTCCCACCGCGAGAGTTACCCTGCTTTCTGCTGTGGCCTCGTATCCAAGATGACACTAATCTTTCACCCAGGGCAAGGGCAGTGAAACTGAGGGAAATTCCCAAAAGGTGACTCTCCTCAGACGCAAATGACTATAGCTCATGGATGCAGGCTATTTGTGACTATGTTGCTCACATCAATATCTGCCAGTCCGAATTTGAGCAGACACCATCAGGAATCCCTTGATTCGAAGACCGGGCCCTGAAGCAATATGCTCACGGCTCCTTACGGCAGGGTCTTCTAGTCAGCCTCATTCATTTAAACATCGCACTACCACTCGTTCGAAATACACAGACCATGGAGTTCAGCTCGCAAGAAATGGACGACGATGCCAGTTCGCGGTTCTGTGCCCTAGACCCCAAAACCACGATTGACGAAAAGGCTCTCTCGCTGCCTCTTAGTTTGTATTTTCTTTTTTAAAGCAGAAAGACACTCTCTATCATCCATGGTTTGACATAATTCCAGTGGCCAAAATGCGCGATAATTTTATTAGCGCCAGCAAAACCGTTGATGATGGACAGCTTTGCTGTGCCTTACGACGGCTGCATAGTTTGGCTTGATTTGTGGGATCCAACCGGATAGGAATTGACGGAAAGTTTTGCTCGGGACTGGGGATGGACGATTGCACATTGCTACTTTTTGTTTGAGCCGACCAACCATTGGAAGTTCTTCCTAGGGGAGAGGCCTTTAGTCTGTGCATGGACAGGAAGCGTTCTTTATCACGAGACCCCTGGTGAGCTAGTAGATCAGAATACACAAATCAGTTAAAAGGCATCTATTGATATTGAACAATAAGTAGTAATCATCTGCTTTTTGGAAATCCTTTTGCATGTTCTTCTGGCCAGTGAGACGCCGCACAGCAGCTGTAATGTTCATCTGTGCAGCTGAAATGCAACCAAAGATTACCCGGGGCGGGGGGCTATAATCCCAGAAAATACTTGAGATGACTTTGATATCCAAAAGAAGCAGCATTGGGCAAATGCGGGAATGGGGCTGTGTACCTAACTCCTTAATTACGAGGCGGCGTTTATTATGCCCCGCACACCAGCTGTCGAGAAATATAAATGGGAGAAAGCTGCCATGTTGAATACAAACTCAACTATAACTATACACAAGGATCTGGAATGAGTCTCCTGTACCTCCCCGATGAACTCCTCCTAAGCATAGGAGAACATGTCATCTCCGAGCATGACCTGAACAGCTTCCACCAGGCCAATCGCCGATTGTATCTCGTTTTCGACGAATACCGATATAAATACAACGCCAAACACCATGAAGGCCATGCCCTATACTGGGCAGCACGTCATGGAAACGCCACTGCAGCCCGCAAATCAGTTATAGCCGGCACCTCCCTCGATCCCCGACCATGGCCGTTTACCTGGCTGAGAGAATATCCTTTCGATCGACACCCGTCGATTGAAAAATACAACGGAGGGCCTTACTGGGTTGAAGATCCACTCACCCAAACTGTCATGTGGAATAAACCCGAGGTCACAAAAACGCTGCTAGAACTCGGGGCCTATCAGAAATCGATGGATGTAAACAGCGCGGGTCAGCCAGAACGGCTAATTCTTTGGGCCGCAGGTCGCAATTGTGCTGCCTCCTTGAAGGAACTGTTAAGCCATGGCGTGGATGTCAACACGAGAGGGGATTCATCAACTGGGCGAACGGCACTCCTTGTTGCGGCTCGCAGGGGGAATCTCGAGACTGTGGAAGCTTTACTCCAACATGGAGCTGATACTGAATTACAAGACATGTTGACCGGCTGGAGACCTCTCCATTGGGCAGCACGGCTCGGCCATTTCAGCGTTCTTGGACTTCTGTTAGGCTCGGGCGCGGAAATCGACGCGCGAATGAGTTTTAGTCTTGATACGCCAATCCTGCTCGCGGCAAAACACTGCGAATTCGATGCAATGAATATGCTTCTTGACAGAGGGGCAAATGTGGACTTTGTTGGGATCGACAATCGAACAGTCCTGTTCCATGTGGTACGGAAGGGCAGCACAGAGTTGATAAAAAGAGTGCTCTGCAAGGGTGTACGCCCTGATATAACATGCCTCTTCGAGGCCCTGTCAAACTGGGAACGAGACGATCATTATGAACGAGCAAAGCTTTTGTTAGAGCACGGAGCGAGTCCAAATATACCCCTTAACACTCCGAAGGGTCCAAAATTCTTGCTTCCATGGGTGATCCGACAATGGTATCTTAACGTTGGTGTGACTGAGCTCCTGCTGGAGTATGGGGTGGATGTAAACACCACAGGGCCTGGACGCTTTACACCTCTCTTAAGTGTTGTTTTCGACGAGCCTGTCTTTAAAATGGCCCAGCTATTGCTTGACCATGGGGCAGATCCAAATGCTGCAAATGAGAAGGGCGTGACACCGTTGGTGATTTGTGCAGGGAAGGGGAACGTGGATGTCTCTAAGCTTTTATTGAAGCATGGTGCTGATCCGAATGTAGATGTCAAAGGGCAGACACTGCTTGCACGCGCAGCCAAATGGGGAAGGGGCGACATAGTTGAATTGCTCAAGAATGTATGAAGGAAATTATGCCGTACTGTGAAAAGTCAAGCGTATATTCACCATATACTCACCAGTTGACCAAATACCCATTAAATCCGCCGATATATTAGCTATTTGGTGGGATAAGGATAAATATGGCAGGTATTTCTACCATACTACGCAGTAGAGGGTCATATTATGATTGGCCAGATATGCCGAAAGAATGTACCCAGTGGTACATTTGACACGCGTGATATGTCACCTATGAACACCCGAAACAGGAACCTTGGGATGCTGTGTTAAATGTTCGCACTCTCCATCCTCTGAGAAAGCCCAACGAGGAGTGTATGCGGAACCGGGGAAGATGGCTACCCAAGGGTGGTCTGCTGTACATGGTTGTCTTTGCCGCCGATGTTGACAACCAGACAAAGGTTGAGTAAAACGTTAAAGACAGACACTTTGCAAAAGTAACAAGGCAATTTATGGGTAGAGGTGCGGTGCATACGCTGCCCACATGACCGGGTTGAAGCATCTTGCACGAGAATGGTCTTGAGATTCTCAATGAAAGAATAAAAGTCTATACGTCATCTAAAGAAATCAACTCTAATGAAGCGCGACAACAGTAATTGCTAGAAAACATGAAGTTGGATGTGAAGTGAAAAGTACTCTGGAGTCAGAACACGTACATGCAGAGCAGTCTCGGGCTTTTCTGTGTAGAGAATGGCAGCAATATATATAGCCTGTTCTCCGGGAGACGGACCAAGTGTTTATCCTAGCGGGTCCGGACAAGCTGCTCGTATTTCTCCTCGAAAACTTCATTATACCCACATGCGGCAGTTCTCGCACCTAGAGCTCATTTCAATGTATCTATCTGACCATCCTAGACCCGCTGGTCTTGATTGCTGCCAAGATGCCTCTGAAAGGTAGTTCAATCGCGTCTCTGAAGTCAAGGTTGGGATGCAAAACTTGCAAGTATGTACTTGTTATCACTCCATCAAAGGAGTGTTGATACTAATCATATTATAGAATTCGGCGAGTCAAGTGTGGAGAAGAAAAGCCAAATTGCGTCCGATGCACTGGTACAGGTCGCAAGTGCGAGTATGAAGGCAGAGTTTCTGGTGCATCCTGCTCCATGCTTTCGACATTCTCTCCTTCATCATCACCAAACACAGCGTGGCGTGAGCGACGCGCTTTTGCTTACTATTTTCAGCATGCTGCACCATTTGTTGGTGGTGGGCTAGATAGTGATTTCTGGCGCACCATCGTCCCACAGGTTTGTCGGAGTGAACCTGCTGTGTGGGACGCTATCATTTCCGTCAGTGCACTATTTGAGGGCCCCGAACCATTCCCCGACTTTGTCTCTCTACGGCCGAAGAATCCCCGGGTCCTCACACAGAATCACCGGGATGCGTTGAGCTGGTATTCGCGCTCAGTAACTTCTTTCCGTCAGCATATCGAGCGTGGTGCCGTAGACGTCTTTGTTGGACTGATTAGTTGTGTACTTTTTATCTGCATCGAGGCTCTGCAAGGTGCTACAGCAGAGGCCTTGCGGCTGTATGATCAGGGTGTACATCTTATTCTGACTTTGCGTGTCCAAATCGCTTCCGGTGCCATGCCACCAGCTAAATCTTTTTTATTAGAGGATATAATTGTCCCAATTTTCGTCCGTCTGGGAGCAATGGCTTTCACAATTTCTAGGGTTCCAGTAACCTCTTTACTACCAGGAACTGAGCATGCTTTGACGCAGGAATTCGTCTCCCTCAAATCTGCTCGGGATGCCATTGTTCTGCTATCCACAGAGGCCCAGCTCTTTGAAAGCATCTGCGAAAAGAATATATCTCTGGCGAGTGCCTCTCATATGCCTCTGGAATTGATAAACCAACAAATAACCCTACTAGCCAAGCTCAGGAGCTGGCACGTCGCCTTCACCAAGTTGATGGCGTGCCTACACTCAAAGGGCAGATTATCTCCAGAACAAACCAGCATCGCAGCCCTTCTCTGGACTTACCACGAGACAGTGCTCATAATACTCGAGACTTGCGTATCGCCATCACGAATGCTTATCGATGCCTATTTACCAAGCTTCCAAACCATAGTCGAACAATCAAGCATTGCTCTAGATGCTTACATGCAACCAGATGGCACACAACCGCCATTCACATTTGAAATCAGCGTCGGTCTTCCCATTTGGTTCACCTGTCTCAGGTGCCGCGACCCCGGTATCCGACGCATGGCGCTAGACCTGCTCCGTCGAGCGCCTCAAGTCCAGGGGGTCTACAAATTGCCCCCTGCGGTAAGATTCAGTGAAAAGGTCATAATATTAGAAGAAACTTATGAATCGACAAAGAATACAGAACAGGCGATAGCTACGGCATCCATCGATTATCAATCTCACATCCGAGAAAAAAGTAGCGACGCATCTTCATCAACGGATATGCCAACAGGAGTTCTCATACCGGAAGAAGCACGTATCAGACCTATTGGTATCTTTCGGCCAAGAGAGGGCATTCCTCCTGAAATTATGGAGGAAGACGTCGCGAAGTGGAACGCAAGTCTTGATCAAGACTTCTTGCGATTCACACGGAACAAGTACGAGGATAGCGGTATTTGGCAGATAGTACATGAATGCGTTCCAATTGATTTTTAATTTGGATTAAACTCTGTCGATGGGGATGAGATTGAGTAATTGCCATTCCTCTTTTATTTTTCAAATATCATGGCAATTGTATGAGGATACATGTTTGCGCCAGCGGCTTGTGCATATGCATAGCAATTGGTGATGCGGCCTGGCTATGCCTCTATCCAAGATGATACCATACCAGGTTTCTCTTGTGCAATAATACAAAGACATTACCGCTGTTCAAATCTAATGGCAGGAGAAGCGTCAAAACACCAACATCTCGGACTAGCACTCCGACATAAGCTGCGCGTCCGAGATCCCCGCATCAGTAGTGAGGAGTGAAATGTCATACCCGGTGGGTCTGAACTAGTACTAGCTCGATATCAGCAATCGGGTATGTTATCCGATCCGACGACCTACTGTATTCTGTTACTCTCTGCTCCTTTTGTACGCAGGAGATGTGGGCACAAATAGTACAAGCTAAAGTCCGCGCCTATGCTTGTAAGCATTGTCAGTATTGACATGGCTATCGCTTCTCCTCACCCCCTCACCCCACACCGATAAGCAATGCATTTGTTTTACCGAAAAGGGTAAAAAAGTGAGGAGGGGAAATGGGTTAAGAAATGGATATTTTTTTTTCAGCTTCTTCTTTTTGAATAGTTTGTTGTCCTTGGTATCTCAACATAGTACAGTGTATATCCATTCGACATCTCAGCTTCGTAATGGCGGGAAAGGTATGTCAGAAGCAATTCCTCGGCTGTGATATGAGAAAATAAGGACTAACAAGATGCAGACCATCGTTTGCAAGGTATTAATCCAGAGGCCCCATTTCGCGGGTTCGGAGTTCCAGTACACGAAGAAATAAACGCTAACCAGTAAAGGCTGCTGTCGCATGGGCTGCCGGCGAGCCGCTCTCTGTTGAAGATGTCGAAGTCGCACCGCCAAAAGCTCATGAAGTTCGTATCAAGGTCCTCCACACAGGAGTCTGCCATACAGGTGAGCATACTCAAACATTCCTACAACGGACTTTGTAGGCTCAATCATTGGCTCAAGATGCCTACACGCTCTCCGGAAAAGACCCAGAAGGTGCATTCCCCGTGGTTCTCGGCCACGAGGGTGCGGGGATTGTCGAGTCGATAGGACCAGATGTATCGAATGTTCAAATTGGGGATCACGTTATCGCTTTATAGTATGATTTCCCTTTGATCGATAAGCCGAACCGGCATCTAACAACATCGTCAGCACACCCGAATGTGGACAATGCAAGTTTTGCAGATCCGGCAAGACCAACCTATGTGGTAAAATCCGTGCCACGCAAGGGCGCGGCGTGATGCCCGATGGAACATCTCGTTTCAGGGCGCGTGGGAAAGACCTACTACATTTCATGGGCTGCTCGACCTTCTCACAATATACGGTTGTCGCGGACATCTCAGTAGTCAGTGTCACGACAAAATGTCCCACAGATCGATCGTGTCTCTTGGGCTGTGGTATAACCACCGGCTATGGCGCCGCGACGCACGTTGCAAATATTACGACAGGGTCGAACATTGCGGTTTTTGGAGCCGGGTGCGTCGGCTTGTCAGTTGTACAGGGCGCATTGAAACAGCAGGCTGGAAAAATTATCGTTATTGATATAAACGATGCTAAAAAGGACTGGGCGTTCAAATTTGGAGCAACCCACTTCGTCAATCCGTATAAACTGATCAAAGGATCGGTTGAAGAGCAGCTCATTGAGTTAACTGACGGTGGGTGTGACTACACCTTCGACTGCACTGGAAATGTGGCAGTCATGCGGGCAGCTCTTGAAGCGTGCCATAAGGGATGGGGCGAGAGCATTGTGATCGGGGTGGCTGCTAGCGGGCAAGAGATCAAAACCAGACGTAAAACACCCTCACCCTCCTGCTCAGCTTTGGTGACTAACATAGCACAGCCTTCCAGCTAGTGACTGGTCGCGTATGGAGGGGATGTGCATTCGGTGGTGTAAAGGGCCGCTCTCAGCTTCCCGGCCTTGTAGAGGACTATTTGAATGGCGATTTGAAGGTCGATGAGTTTATTACTCATCGTCAGTCTCTTGCCAACATTAATGTGGCTTTCGAGCAGATGAAGCAGGGGGATTGTATTCGGTGTGTTGTTGATACGGCATAGGTGTGTTGTGGGAATGGAGTGATAAAGCATCTACAGAGTACAAGTAGCGAGTAGGTAATCTTGGGCATGGATGTCTACCAAGGTAGCAATTTGACAAGTACCTTGGTAGTGGGGTTAAATTATATATTGAGGGAGCTCGCCTTCCATGTTCTTCAGATCCAGCGCGACTCTTCACTAGTTTTGTTTGTAGCCGACTCCGAAGACAGTCCCCGATATGTCCACCTTGTCTATCTCAAACACTCCAAATGATCGGGACTACGCCTAAGAAGGAAGTAGAATCACTTCACTCTACCTGCCATTATGACTACTCTTCCTGGATGTGCACGACGGCTGTCCATCCAGTGCTCCGCCCCGGTGGACTACGTTCCCTGTCTCGGTATGGGGACCCATGTCATAGTATCTGTACTATGATTACGGGAAGTACCGGGGTGCTTGCCCTTCGTACATGGAACCCCTCATGAGGGGAAGAATTGGTGGGCTGGGCTTGTATAACCTGACCGTTATATATCTCGTCAAATCCGCATTGACAACAGCAATTTATCCATTCCCAAAACATCAAAAGTCACATTTAAAAAGTTCAATATTACTTTACCAAATCTCTCCAAAATGCCTTCAATCCACCCCCTCATCGACAATGGCCTCACCAAAGGTGACCCCAACTTCTCCGGCGGCGACCTCTACTGCCACTGCTCATCCAACAAAGTCAAAGTCACCCTGAAAAGCAACGTCGCCTATAACCACGCCTGCGGCTGCTCCAAATGCTGGAAACCCGCAGGCTCCCTCTTTTCCATCGTCGGCGTCGTCCCGCGCGACGCCTTAGCCGTCACCGCAAACCCCCAGAAGCTCATCACCATTGACAACACAGCCAGCATCATCCGCAACGCGTGCAAGGACTGTGGCGTGCATCTGTTCGGGCGCATTGAAAAGGACCATCCGTTCAAGGGACTAGATTTCGTGCATGCTGAGTTGTCGGACACGAAGGGCTGGCAGGAGCCGCAGTTTGCGGGATTTGTGTCGTCGATTATCGAGCAGGGGTATCGACCTGAGGGGATGGAGGAGGTTAGGGGCAAGTTTAAGGAGAACGGGCTGGAGACATACGATGTTTTGTCACCGGCGTTGATGGATTTGATTGCGACACATACGGCGAAGGCTTCGGGGGCGTTGTCGGCTAATCTATAGGTCGGTCCGCTTTACAGGAGGATATAGATGGGAGAAATTCAATTTTGAATGACCCCTAGACCATTGAACATGTCAACAACTTGGGGCTGAAATATACAAATTAAATCAATCTTGACAGTGATTTTTCAGTCCTTGTTGGTGGTCTATATGATTAGTAGCCGGAAATGACCACCAGGTGATCCCGGCGGTCGTAACTTTCTTGCATAGTAATCTACAAGCCATCTGCAAATGAACTAGACATTTCTTTGACAGTTGGTTAGTCCCTAGCCAGCCACGCCTCGTATATATGATCCAGTATTATCCGATCAAGCATCTCCTTCACACATAGACGCTATCAAAAAATCAATATCAAGGAATCCATCCCAAGTGAATAAATCGCACACAAGTAAGGTGTCTCGTATCTAAAACCAGATTGCGCGGAGCCAGTTCTTGACATCTGTGCCTCGTCCAAGGTGGCAATGGGTTATTTTCTTTGAAAGACCGAATCAGGAAGCCAAGTTTAATAGTACCTCTTTCAAGAAGGAGTATACCTTGACACCTGATGCAAGCCATTTTGAGGGCACCTGTTGAAATAAAAACAAAGGCTGTTTCAGAAAACACTGCAAAATAGATTTTGAAACTGCTAGAGACGTGCGACTCCGCTGGTTGAAGTAACCCGAGGATTGGTGTTATTGAATGGGTTATCCTATGGGTAGCTCTAGTGGCAAGCGGTGCAAAGATGCCAGTAAACAGAGACAGGCGACAGGTCTACGCTAGGGGGCAATGGGCGTGGGAGCCGGCACATATCGGATGGCTAGCTGTGGATGCAAATAGCTGCCGCGATTTTTGATAAATTCCATAGGATAATTATCATAGCGTGGCCGTTGTCATACCCTGTCAGAAAAGCAGACACCAAGTTTCCGATTTCAAGGCGACCCCACAAGGCTTTCTGGAAGAATGATTGCTGTGTTTACTCGTAAAGTTGAATGTTCACATTCGTCACTGCTTTTAGATCATTGCTACATCTAGTAATCAATGTTAGAGGATGGGATCCTATCTGCGTCCATGTCGGTCATATGCATGTACTCTGATATACAAAACCAGTGATCCTAATATACCCTCCAACTGCGGCAACAACTCTCCAACTGTTCCCTTCGGCTAGTGTCACCTGGATGTTCGGAATGCTTGAGCCCGGTGCTGCGAGGGGAGTCGAAGAGGTCGGAATTGATAATGCGGATGTTTGCATGCGTGTGTACTATGTATGCTTATGAGATATCTTTATCCTTGTCTGTTTCAGGCACTGTGAGCTGGAACATAGGTTAGTGTGTGTCCCATTTCAAACCTAGTCGGCTTTTTAGCTTACCCGCCAATATATGGAGTCCCAAGAGGAGTAAATATTGAAGAGCGCAAGTCGTATGAAAAGCAGAAGTATTGGTACTTGTGCAAAAGAAAAGACTTCATGCAATTATCCCTTCCGACCAACCATCCTTTGTAGAAATGCCATAATTTTTTCTACTATACGGACGCCATTAACCTGCTTAGACACACGATCCATTGCCTGCTTTGCAGCCCTGCAGATGTGTATCGTCTCTTTCTCTACACCAGGATGAACACACAGCTCTGCAAGCCGCCCCCGCCAAAACATCCATCGTGCAATCGAATAACCTTCTTCCGGCTTACCGGTCCATAGAGCCCCACGCTTGTCAGAGCGTCGATCTTCCTGTTTCTGACAAAACCAGTAGATCAGGAGCGCACGCAGCGTAAACCAGGTGGCTGCGGCCCGAACCTGTGGTTCTTTCAATTTCTCGTCCTCCAAAGCCGTGCTAATGGTTTCCAGAGCGTATGAGCTGCTGCAACCAAGCCCACGTGTGATCATATAAGCACACAATCCGTTCATATTTTGCAAGTGACGCGCGGACTTGGCGCTGGGTTCCTTGTTGTCTCGGAGGCCTAGCCGCTTCGTATTAGCGATCCCGAATGACAGAAAACGGGACAGAAACATACTATCCCACTGTTCGCCAAATGCCATAATGACATAAAGTCTGTTTGCATGGCTATTCCGACCTGGATATGCGCCCCCCTGGAGTATGTCCGGTAGAATCTCGAGGGCCTCCAGGAGGGCAACAAAACGTTGCATGGGGTCCTGCTGATAATCCAATTGAGGTCCAATACAAAACACCAACTGCCAGGACCAATACAGAAAGCTGACTACCGTGGCATTATGGTCTTCAGAAAAGAGAGCGTTGATGTGGTGGACTGCTTCTTCGGGCGTTATTGAGGAGTCTGCAGGGAGATATGTGGTCAAGTAATCGAAGATTGCTTGTTCCCTTACTGAGGGATTTTGGGAGACTGCACATTCTATTCCTATCGAGCTGAAAGGGGCCATGGTAGCTCTGAAGTTGGAATATGACAAGTCTGGACACGAAGTCATACTAAATATTGATGAGGTATCAACGTTGCTGCGCCACACGAGGCTCTGCAATCAAGCAGAGCAGCAGCCCTGGGAACGGTTCATGATTGGTTATTATGCTTCATATGGAGGGATAATATCTGTTCTATTTGCTTCCCTTGTTTATTTTTATCGCCTTAGTTCATGTTAATGCTTTTCAAGGCGACTTCTACCGTTGTTGGTCACTCTAACCCTACTCGCTTGGCCCCGATTGTTCTTCAACAAAGGCAATATTATTCATTTAGAGTAAACTCTGCCGTCAATAATCTAACTTTGCAATTTTCAGACAGTTCTATGATGGCATTATACGCTTTATAACGGTTTACAGCCTCTCACCCTCTTTGCTTATCCTCAGCAGATTGCCGACGCTCACCAGTTACACTTTTCGAAGCCAGATGTGGACGATATTAAACCGGCTCTAGATTTCCGTCTCTAGGATACCTTATACGGAGATGGTGGCTCAATTTCTTGAGCTGGCCAGGTCGGGACAACGGATGTGGATCATGAGATGTCGAAGGGGATCCTAGAGAAGGTCCCGCAGCCAGATGCCAGGATGACTCAACGACTGGAGAAGTGAAGGAAATTTGCGGGACGGAGGACGCATGGAACACAGCGGGTGGCGAGCTGTGAGAGATAGGGATGGCTTTGAGGAGCGGGACGCGCCTAGAATGGGGCACCCGAAGCTCGCGGGGTGTAAGCGCTCTTCTCGTCGTCTTCGTTATCATCTTTTTAGTCGCCGTCTTCGTCATCGTCTTCTTTTATGGTCATTGTTCTCGTCATCGTCATCATCGTCACTGTGGTGTATACTCCCAATCTTCATAACTGACTCTTCTTAACGAATGCGTTCCATGAAACCCATAGGGCGACTAATTGCAGAGGCAGTGTCCCGAGCAGCGCGGTACCTCCTTCGAATTCGACCGCATCCTCTTCCATCTTGACAGCGGCATTCCGTTATTTTCCTTATCAAGTTTAAGCCAAGCTTGAAATTCTTTGCGCAAGTTGAAGGAATGCCCGGGTCGATGTCATAATTATCTCAGCTAATAGTTGGAATCTTCTGATGAGGTTGCCGGCCACAATCAATACGAAAATTTTCTTCCCAGCTCCGATACTACTAGGGCAAAATAATGGTTAGCTTTCAGTACTTAACCAATTATGGTACTCAGTAGAATCCAGGAATCATTGGCCAGCTCCTGAATGTTGCCTAGAAAGAAAATCATAATGCCCGGGGCCATAATATATTGGTGTAAGCCATTTGAGGATGTCCATGGCTTCCATTATGTCCCATTTGGACCTTGTCACTTCGATATCAGACATATTGTAACCAGAACTAGAAAGGAGTCAAAAATCCCCCGTAAATAAAGTTATAAAGAGTGGAAGGCAAGATTTGTTCGTGAGAGGGCGGGAATGAAGTAAGAAGTGAGGCTGACCACAGCCTCATGCTTGCGAAAAATTATTGGAGATTTGAGGTGAGAATACAAGTTTCTCTAAGAGATATAATATAAGTGGACCCCAGGTGCAAAATATATGAATGAACTTTTATAGCAAGTGTTACTTGTGAAAGTCAAAAAACAAGTCTGATCTGACGACGAGGCTTTGGAAAGTTGAGTCGATGAATATCCATATTTGTTTCATTCAAGTATTAATATGCAATTTTCCACTGGTAAATCCACTCAAGGCCCTTTCCCAACAACATTAACATTTTGCACAACCCCCTGCTCCTTATCCTCACTCTGATTCTCACTTCTCGCTTCAGTCTTATCATGCTCAATAGGACTATGCCTCTGAACAACCAGCCAAGTAGGCAACACTGCGAGCCCTAGTCACAATAATTAGTATATCTTTTTTTTTAAATTTAGCAAGAAACAGGCACATACCAAGAAGAATGGTATTCACAGCTAAAGGAACTCTACCTCCATACCAGTCTCGTGTGTTGAGTCCGAATGAGACGGCTTGGGAGAAACTCTCTTGACCACGGAGGATACCGGAAAGGCGAGCTGACCAGTTAGCCTTCTGCAATTATACTTGTTATTTTCTGTTTTTAACATACATAACTCGGAAATATTATCAGTCATTGTCGAAATGAGGTAGTACAGCCAGTTCTGCAGTGCTTGCTGGGAGAATTCTATACGGTATTGATCAGCAATCATTCAAATACCAAATCTAGATATAGGGATTAGGACTCACGCCAAAGCAGAATAACAAAGAGACCCTTAACAAAGCCTTTATCGGACCAGTCATATACAGGGGAGTTCGCGGTAAATTGCTCTTGAACCACCCAGCCGTACACCCACGCGATGATATGCACGATAATCACGTAATAGTAACTAAGCCAATTAGTTTGTATCGTGCAGTCACGGAATATAGTTGGCTAACCTGTAGATAATACGCTGCTTGATCGAAATGCCTCGGTAATCCAAAAATCGACTGATAATTCCGGATGAGAAGAGACTTGCGAAGTTGGCTTGGGCCAATGTCAGTACAACTGTCAAATCAGGTGGTAGAAATGCTGAAACATACAGATAAATCCAATTAAAGCACGAGCTCGAACACCAAAGTAGTATGTTTCGAAGTCTAGTTTAAATCAGTTTTGTCCGTGGCAAAGAAAAGGGTCAAATGCGCACTTGAGCTGTATTGATTAAAATAACCGGCCCAGAATACCGGTAACAGTAGAAGAACCTCTTTCCGCATTGACAGCTTGAGCAGTTCTCGCATTTCAGCACGCCATGAATTCTGGATCACGATCCGGACTTTGCTTCCATCATTGCGTTGGACCTTCTCCGGTGGTGATAGGAATATTGCTAAAGGGACTGAAACACATTGCAATGCAACGAATATGAGATATGTCTCTATATATTATTAGTATCAGCGAAGAAATTGAGAGAATGTTCAACGTACTCGGGTCGATCTTTCCCTTACTCTTTGCATTCGCAGAACTGTATCTGTAAGTAACCATTCAGAGGTTTTATGAAGAGCAAAAAACGCACTTGTTCTTCCCAAGCACAATGGCGCCACCCAGTAAAGGACCACCCGTGCGGAACCAAAGCCAGATACTGTTTCTGTTAATCGCCTCTTCACTCTGCGTATACAGAATAGAACCCACTTCATATATCTACCACGTTTAGTTGGTTCCGGATACCCTAGCGCAACGGCGCCTTCAGAAGCCCAGAAAAGACCGGCGCTAATTTATGAGTTTCTGCCATAAAGGGACATGGGGTAGGACATCGCTTACGATAATCCACAAGCCACTGCTCCGACAAGAACGAACCATTCATTACCCTGGCAGCTATTAGTGTCCTATCACCATCTCCTTTGGGCAAGATTGTATGCGTACATATCGGTTGTTCGTATACAACGCAGCCCTTTGCATCGTTAGCATGTCATACTCAATCCAACCCTCGAACACAGAGTACACACGAATAAATCGGATATCCAACCGCTCCCAATAACAAGGTCCAATTCAGTCCAATTCGATTGGCGATCGGTCCGCCAAACAAACACAGAAAGCCCACTTCACCATGTCAGCACTATACATATATCACTGGTATCAGGACAATGACATACTTAGACCAAAAACCAACGCATTCGCCGCATTAATCAAAAACGGCGATTCCGCACCCCCGGCACCTAGTGAATTCATCGCATTCCATAAACCTGGTGCCATGAAACCCACACCACCGATGATAAAGGCATTGAAAAGGGTAGTGTGATACCATGTTCGTTTTGGTGGTGTTGATGTTGGGGCATTATCGGTATCGGAGGATACTGAGACGGGGTTGTCTTTTGTCATTTCGTTGGCCTAGCACAGTATATCTGACCAAGTCACTTGTCGCATTCAAATAGAAATGTTAACGCTACATATATGATTTCTGCATGTCAAAACCCTCATCGAATGGCGAAATGACGTGCTTAATATAACAAAGAGATCTATGCACCAAGAGGGTAAGATTCCAATTGACGTTCGGGCTGAACCGCCAGGAATCCTAGGCCTCGTTTTGTATCGTGCTCAATTTCTGCGAATGTTCCCTGTAAGGAACGCATTTTATGTTTTTATTGCAAGGTGGTTCGATTAATGTTTATGCCTTAGGCAGTTATCACGGAACATTATTGGTCCGTCATATCTGAGATATCGGAGACACAAAAGTTGTTTGATACAATTCAAATGATTACAATTTATTGAGACGCCGGCGCGGCTGTATATCCAAAATGGCACAAACGCAATTAACTCTCCTGCCGGCGGACATCATGGAGTCCCAATTATCTACAGTTGACCTCCTCACGGCCATGTTCCCATCTCCAGGAGAGCTTGATATTCCAGAATCCACAACTCAATGCATTGAAAAACTACGAGATTGGTGCCAAGATCCAGCCTCGGAGCCTACAGGAATCCCAACAAGTCTATTGCTCGCTGTGTGTTTACCAATTGCAGATGGTGAGAAGAGGATCCAAGTCAACATCTCAATTCCATTGCAATGCGAGGATCCGGCGATTGACCAGCCACCACCAATAAATTACTCGCTACGACAACCAGAATGGATGTCCAAAGCCGAGGTTGCTGGATTAGTTGCCGTAATGCCTCAGGATGACCTATTCGGTGCATTCGAATACATCCAAGAAGAAGCCCTCCGCTTTTTTGAAACCCAGCAGCAAGCTTTGGCCTCCGAGACCGAGACCATCACGAATAAAAGTGGGCCAATCGTAAGAGTATGGTTCTATTTCCCTTCCCTATCAACTCGAGAAAAGAGGGATGATATGGTCAACAACGCACCTGCCTATTCTCTCACGGGGTTTGTGTTGGCGGGCAAGCCGGGCGTGTTGTGTCTGGAGGGTACGTCGGTGGATATTGATGCTTATATGAGTTTTATCAAGACACACTCGTGGGGGGATATCCCCAGTCATCAGAAAAAGGTCAGCGAGAGGTTTCGCGAGACTGATGTTCAGAGGGTATTCACAATGATGAAGGAGATTACGGATTCTCTAGGTGAACGAGGTGGGAAGAGGGCCAATAGGGGTGATATGCAGGCATTGGAGGCATGGTTACATGATAGAGGGTTGCGAGACGCATTTGAGAATGTGATATTCTAAGTGCGCGAGTCTTGATGGATATATCGTTCTGCTGTAATTGGTAGATAGTACTAATTCTGTATAGAAAACACAACGGTACAAGTCCCTTTCTTTGACGCTGCCTTCTGGCATAAAATGCTGCCTTTCCAAATTTCAAGCAGCATAAGAAAAGGCAAAAAAAAAAAAAAAAAAAGAAATGCTCGCACTCGGATTCGAACCGAGGATCTCATCATTACTAGTGATGCGCTTTACCAACTAAGCCATGCGAGCTGATTGGTTGCTAATACTAAAAACTGTGCCAAATAAACTAATACTAATCGAAAAATATTAGGCCAGCGTCCGCATACCATTACAACCACTACAGAGTACATTAACAATGCCAAGATGACCACTCTTCACCGGGACACGTACAAGGAGTATAAATACCCAGAAAGAGCGGCTTTGACAAAGGAGATGTTGCAGAAACTTGAGAATCTGAGGCACCATCAGACACTGAAATTTAGGGTTTGCTGTAGCTTGGTAATATCAACGTCCTCAGGCAACCAACTAAAAAGACAAGACGTGCTCGGCAGAAACTGGAAGAGGACAAAAGGTACAAGGATCTGGAAGAGAAGACGGAAGAGCAGACGGAAGATGAAGAAGATCAGGGTGTTAAGGTTATCTAATTCAAGTTCCTGCAAGTTAGTTATCTAGATTTAGGGAATACATCTGGTAGCAAAATTAATAGAAAGGACAAAGTCAGTATTTTTCCAGAGATCCTCGCATATTCCAACTGCCACAGGGTGATAGCCGGCCAGTAGTGTATGAAGAATGGTCCTCATAGTCATCTAACTTATCATCGACGTATCCCATGAGGCCCGCCAGAACAGAGAGCCGAAGAAACCAATCCATCTCCAACATGTACCACGATAGAAGGGGCCTCTCCTCCGGATCATCAGTTACCAGGCTATAATGTGACCAGGGACAATTTTCATTTCGACCTTGCAGTCCCATAATTATATATCATCTCCTGGAATGCCGAGATCTTCTGATATATCCGGACATGAAGTCATGTATTCTAAATTGAGGGAGGAGCCGGCAGCTAGAAGAATTGGACTTTCATTGATGTCCCATCTTCTGACAGTTCGATAGGTTTCAAAGCGAAGAGGTAATCTCGCCAATAAGCAGCAACACTGGGGTTCACGGAAAGCAAATTGTCGCATCTCTCAGCCAATCCACCCTGTTCGATGGCTTTTTTCCACGCGTTGAGCTTGTATTTTGACACGCAGTGTGAGACCATCTCCCAGAAGGAAGGATCACTCTAGGCCGTGGGGACTTAAGCGATGTAAATTGGGTCGGCTGGTTGTCCTTGTCCTGCCTTGGTGACAAAACACCAATTGTGGTCCCGCGCAGAGCACTGAAATATAAATTAGCAGCGTATTAGTTAGATAATTAAAGGGAGGGGGAAACATACCCGATCCGCTGCAACTTCCCCAGCTTGACAGGGGCCTAAAGGCTCTGTGGACGGCAGTCTTCCTGGGCTACTATCCTCGTCAAGCTTTGGTCGCTTGAGCGGGGACGGTTGCTTATCGTAATCGGGGTGATCATGCTTGATTGAAGTGGACGGTGGCTCCGGGTCACTCGGAAAGGCTAAAACTGTGTAGGTAAGGGCAAATTAGCATTTACTTACAATAGAGTTGAATTTGAGAACATACGATCTTCGAAAGGCTCCGGGTATGGGAACATGGACTGCGTGGAAACGGTGTCTGGGTTATCAATCAACTCCTGCAGACGATCTAGGTCTGCAAACCACAACATAGCCCATGGAAGGCGCGGCATCATGGTTTCGTCGAATCCGAGTTCCTTTTGCAGCTCGGAAAGAAGATGAACCCGATAGGACTGGTCGAATTCGGGGGCGATGCTCATTTTTGCGGTGGGTTATTAAGACTGATTCAAGGCAATATGTAAGTAACTTGCTGGAATGGATACTTGGTGAGGGAAACTGATCAAGGTAGAAATACTGGCGAGGGGACGGGTTATATAGAGAAAGAAGAACTTCCTCAGGGTCCATATTAGAGAAGCTCGGGGAGGGTCCAGATAGTCGTCGTGATTACGGGCAGTCAGAAAATGACACTACTAGAAACATGGTTTCTAGGTCAGTCAACCACAGAATACATGTTATCAATCTATTTCATTCTTCGGACTATCTAATCAGCAGCACACTCCTTAATGTCACTCAAGGCGCTGATATCCTTCCACCCCTCCACTGATGTCTGAACCTTCGACACGGCCTTTTCAATTTCCATACTAGCATCACTTCCCAACGGAAGCAATTCAGGCAACTCTTTTCCTTCTGCCACTCCAGACGATGTGACCACATCAAAGATTATCTGAGCGCCCTTCACAGGGTCTCCCAGCTGCGCACCATTAAACGTCGCAAAATTGGTCTCAATGATTGCATTCAAATCCGTGTATACATCAAGACGACTGCTCTTATCAGTCCCAGCGATATTGGCAGATGGATCCAGCAGCCCTGTGCGGAAGAATCCAGGCTCGACTAGGCAGTGACGGATACCAAACTGCGCCACCTCACCAGCTAGGCCTATTGCCAACCAACGAAGAGCTGCTTTGGACGCGTTGTACAAGTTGCAACCTGACATGGGGCACCACGCTGCCATGGAGCCGATAGTAACGAGAGTTCCGGTGCCCTTCTCGCGAAAGTGTGGGAGGAGTGTACGGTAGAAGCTGAGGGGGCCAAGAGTGTTTGCTTGGAACTGACGCAAGGTATCTTCTGGAGAGACTTCTTCGAGAATGCCAGTTTGGACGTATGCGGCGTTGTTGACGACGATGTCGACAGTGCCATAGATAGTGAGGATATCGTTGATGGCTGATTGGAGTTGGTCTAGAGGTTTGTTATGGTCGAGGAGGACTGGTTTCACGTTGTTTGAAACGAGGGAAGCTAGTTTCTCGAGGTTTCGCGAAGCAGCGAGTACACGATCACCTTTGCCGGCGATGATCTTGACGAGTCCAAGACCGAAGCCAGACGAAGCGCCGTTGACGAGCCAGATCTGAGGCATGCTAAGTGATAGAATAAGTACGATATATTGCCGGTATGGTAGAGATGTCTGTCAGATGTTCTACTGATATAGTCCGAGTTTGTGTCCAGGAGGATGCAAATCAGATGATACGCAACCGGTCTGTGCACATACAATGGGATAGTCTACTGTGGTGTACACCAATCACACATGAGCTACCAGCTCAAAAGAGAAAGAATAGGACAAAGACAACATGTCGCTGCCTGGGGGTTGCATTATTATCTCGGAGACTAGCGAGCATATAAAGTCGTTTGAGTGACGCTGCCTTCGAGACATGCATTTCAACTTACTCTTAAGAGTAATTCTGAGTCGATTGATCATCATGGCTCCGATATCCCCGATACGACCGACAGCCATACATGATCGTGACTGAATCTACCTAGACATGCATCTCGACATGGCGTTGTATACTTCGGAAGTTTATTCAATCATGTATTGAAAGTTGGCGGCGCTGCAGTTCAAATTGGCCGCTTAGCTCAATGGTAGAGTGTTGCTCTCCTAAGTTTGGATCCAAGCAATGGTTGCGGGTTCGACCCCCGTGGTGGTCATTTTTTTACTATTTTATTTACATATTTTTGGACTCTTTAAAATGTTCAGTTCGATTCAACAGTGTCAAAGCTCAAAAAGACGCTACAACTTCCCCCGGATGTCGACAGGTCCTAGTTCAGCCTCTTCCAATTCCGCTAACAGCACCCCCTCGGCCACGTCTTCCTCGTCCTCTTCCATCTCAAACGCCCATTTCACCGTTCCAGCACGCGGACTCCGAACTTCAAGCTCCATTTTCATCTGCTTTACGAAAGCGATAACCTGACCGTTTGCGATATGGTCTCCCTCGGATACTAGGATCTCAATCAACTTGCCTGATAGCGGAAGGACTATATGCGCTGGATTTCTGGGATCCCCGCGTCGATGGGACGAGGAGACAAGAGCTGATGCTGAGGTCGAGGTCGATTCTAGTTGCATACGGTACAGAACAGCAGCTTGGGATGCCGAACTTGTGTATTCAATCTCCGCCGTAAAAGAGGATGGGAATTCATTGCGTAGAACACGTGAAAGTTGTAGGTGATGTCGCGATTGTTGCTCTTCCTGTGAAGAACCGTTCTGGATAGGTTCGAGGATGATGGACCATGCATCGCCTTTTCGGAATAAAAGGTTTGATGATGGCATGGGAATGCCCTGGCCTGCTGGGGGAAATGGTGAACGCTCTTTCCGCAAGGATGCAGATACCGTTTCACCCAGCTTAATGGTTTGTCCCAGATTCGATTCCAGCCATTGTGTGTCAATTGCTCCGGCCATAAAATCATCATGAGCCACAATCCCCCGCAAGAGGTTGAAGTTTGTGGTGACGCCTGTAATCCTCGTGTCTGCTAATACGCGTTGCACTTTCCCGACAGTTGCTTCCCAGCTCGATGCAGTGATGGTGATCTTTGCCAGGAGGTTATCGAAGTTCGAACCCACGATCAAAGGTGAAGAACCAGTGTCCATATGGGTGTCAACTCGAATTCCATGGCCGCTAGGGACGAAGAAGTCCGTGACCTTTCCGATCCCGAGAGAGAAGTTGTTATTTGGATCCTCCGCGCATAGTCGAAGTTGGATCGAAAATGATCTTGGAGGAGGATCTTTGGGGTCGACGTAGTCCAGTCCTAGTTGAGAAAGAGAATGACCCTGGGCAATCAAAAGCTGTGTTTGCACCAGATCAACGCCGGTGATATTCTCAGTGATAGTATGCTCGACTTGAAGTCGTGGGTTGATCTCGAGGAAGTAGAATTCAGAGCGCTGGTCATTGACCAAGAATTCGAAAGTCCCAAGGGACTGGTAGCGAATTGTCTTTGCAATTATCAAAGCTGCATCAATCACCCAACTAATAACATCTCTCTTCTTTGATAAAATTGGCGCACACTCAACAACCTTCTGGAACCGGCGTTGAATACTGCAATCCCTCTCCCAAAGATGCCGAACATTACCTATCGCATCACCCACCACCTGAACCTCAACATGGCGAAATCCATCCACAGCAGCTTTCTCAACAAACACCGTTCGAGACGGCGACTCTCCAATCGCACGGTCAACAGCATTATCAAGCTCCTCGTCACTCCGCACCAACCGAATCCCTCGGCCCCCGCCTCCATCAACAGCCTTGATCATGACCGGAAACCCAACATCCCTCACAAATGCCCTAATCTCATTCAAATCAGCCGTGGGATTGGTCAGCGCCCTTAAAACTGGCACACCACATTGCTCTGCCAAGTCTTTCGCCTGCAACTTGTCTCCCGTCCTTGCGAGCGTCTCCCACCCAGGCCCAATAACAACCGCGTCAGCATCCTGCCACATACGCTGAGCAAAATCTGCGCTTTCGCTCAGAAATCCGTAGCCTGGGTGTACCGCATCAATGGAATGTCGTTTCACAAGATCAATTAGTAGAGCGATGTCTAAATACGCTGCCGCGGAGGGGATCTCTAGTGCATGATGTGGGTGACTGATTTGGCAGTGCGACCGGTCATCTGATGTGTAGAGCGCGAATGTTTCAATCGATGGGGACAATTCGCGTACGGCTTGAAGGATGCGCACGGCGATTTCACCTCTGGTTAATGTTAACTATCGGGTTTGCTGGTAGGTGATTTTGGTGGCGTACCTGTTAGCGACGAGAAGTCGCTTTATGGACCGTTGTGGTGTCATTTTATGGCATTTATGTTCCAGAATTTTACAGCACTCTGTACTCTGTATAGCAATGGCCTTGTATAAATTGGGAAAGAGTTGCCATTAACTACCCCGTGAGGTATCTTAAAGGGACCTCGGACCTCGGAATGTGGGGATATCTACGTCTACATCAACACTTAACAACACCTTCAGACATTGAAATACATACATCACAAAGGAAACAACGAAAACAATGGCAGGCGACGATACCTCAGCAAAGGAAGACTCATCCCAGAAAGCTAACGAGCGACTCACCAAACTCTCCTCTCAAATCAAACCAAAACCCAACCAAAGATCCAAATCCAAAAACACGTCAAGCCTCCCAGCAGACTACTCAGATGTCCTCTCTCAAATCAACACTCTCCAAAAAATAGCCTCAACCCCAAACACAAACAACAGAGGCTACATCCGCCAAAAACAAGCCGGCAAACTCTGGGTCCGCGAACGCATCAACCACCTCCTGGACACCGACACCTTCGAGGAAATCGGCTCGATATCAGGAACAGTAAAATGGCGCAAAACCGGCCCCATGCGCGAAACGCCAGAATCTTTTGTTCCCAGTAATAATGTACAAGGGACAGGCAAGCTCCGCGGGCGAAAGGTATTACTGACAGTGGACGATTTTAGTATCCGTGGAGGCCACGCGGATGGGTCGACGGCGGAGAAGACGATTTATATGGAGAAGTTGGCTGTTGCGTTGAGGTTTCCAGTTGTTAAGTTGGTGGATGGTAGTTCGGGAGGTGGGAGTGTCACGACTATTAGGAAGGAGGGGTGGAGTTATTTGCCACATTTGCCTATGTATCAGCATGTGGTGAAGCAGTTGAATATGGGGATTCCGAATTTGGGAGCTGTTGTTGGGCCGGCTGTGCGTCTGCGTCTGCCCTACTAAATATTGATTAGAAGAGAAGCTGACGATTGCAGATTGGCCTGGGAGCAGCTCGCGTTGTGTCTTGTCATTTCTCTGTTATGGCAGCGGATATAGGGGCATTGTTCAATGCAGGGCCCAAGGTTGTTGAAGGAGCGACGTTCGAAGAAGGACTTGATTTCCAGGACTTAGGTGGTCCAATCGTCCACTGCACGAATGGAACCATCGATAACCTGGCCGCCAATGAACCCGAATGCTACGAGCAGCTACGCACGATACTCAGCTATCTTCCCAACACCGGAACCGAGGCACCTCCTGTGGCTCCGTGCGAGGATCCGGAAGATCGCGAGGACCTAGGATTGCGCCAGGTTATCCCCCGTCGGGCTGCACGCATGTATAACCCGCGCACGATAATCACGAGCGTGGTTGATCGCGGTTCATGGTTCGAGATCGGTTCACTTTGGGGTAGAACGGCGATCGGAGGACTTGCGCGATTAGGAGGGCGTCCAGTGGGCGTTGTTTCGTTGAACTGCGAAGTGAATGGTGGTGCATTAGATGCAGCGGGTAGCCAGAAATTGACCCGATTGCTGAAATTATGCGATGTGATGAATCTGCCCATTCTGCAATTCATCGATGTCCGTACGTACTCCTAATACCCTCCCGCTCTACGAATGCTAACGAAGCAGCCGGCTACGCTATCGGCACCATCGCCGAACGAAGCGCCACAATGCGCTGGGGCGTCGAACTCGCCAAAACCTACTACACAACCACAACGCCCATCTTCAACGTGATAACCCGGCGCGTCTTTGGCGTCGCGGGCGGAGTCATGATCGGTTCCCGTGATCCAGTAATGCAAGTCGCCTGGCCGTCGGGTCAATGGGGCTCCCTCCCCTTAGACGGGGGTATTGAAGTCGGACACCGAAATGAATTGCGCGAAGCAGAGAAGGCAGGAAAGAAAGAGGAGAGATATCGTGAGTTGGAAGAGGAGTATTTGAGGTTGATGAATCCGGTACGAACGGCGAATGCGTTTGGTATCGAGGAGATGATTGATCCGAAGGATACGAGGGGAGTCTGTTGTCGGTGGGCGGGGGATATGTATGGGGGGTTGATGAGGGAGAGGTTAAGGGATAGGGCGATGGGGAAGATTCGACCTGTTTTTGCTTGAGTGATATATATCCAGTGCAGAGAGCCTGTTCAGTGATACTCCGGAGTCCAGTTCCAACGGAATGGTCTCAATTGTGAAACACAAAACCATAGTAAAGGCATCTATTGAACTTTATAGTGTTCTCGAATCTCAATTTAACTAATCTGGTACTATTGACATCATCGCGATAGTCCCCAATAGTGCGGATCCTTCCGAAAACGGCAATTCTCCTGATCCAGCGGTTCAGCCTCAACTTTATCTCATCTTCCTCTCCAATTTTTCTTCCTCTACCTGTCACATTCACATGCATCCTCAATGTTCAAGTCGTGTTCAGATGCGCCCAAAAATGGCGTCAAGTTACCCCCATGGCTCAACCATTTCAACGCCCGCGATCTGCAGACACTTTTTCGCTGCTCCGTCGCGGCATGGGTGGCGACCTTGTTGATATTCATCGGCCCTTCGCTGGCCACCATCGGCCAAGCGACGTTTTTTGCATGGTGCGCATTCATATCACCCAATGCGCGATCGTAATATTAACATGGTATTCCAGCTTGGTCATCTTTATCGCCCCACCATCGGGAATCGTCTTCATCTTCATGCTCGCCACCATCACCATGCTGCTCGGGATATGTCTCGCCTGGGCATGGGGTGTCATCGCGATGAAGGCGGCGCTCGCTGCGCGACCAGCATCAGATACACAGGCGCGATTGTATGCGCTGCAGCAGGCTGTTGTTTCTCGTGCGAATGCGACTGGGGAGCCTGCGGCTGCGATACAGCAGGAGCTTATTTTTGATGGGTTTATGTTGGATGCGCGGGTCACGGTGATTTATTTTGTGATGATTTGTTTGTTTGTTTATTTCTTGGTAGGTTTGCTTTTTCCTGGCAGATCCTGCATGCGCGTGCTAAGATGGAATAGGCACGCTTGCGCGCGATGAATCCCAAGTTCGCGCTGGTTCAGGTCTTTGGGACGATCATTTCGGACCTTTTCCTGGTCATAGCGCCCATGCTGCCGTCGTTTTCGGGCACGTTGCCCAAGACTCTAATCGAACCGGCTGCTATTGGTGTTGGATTAGGTCTGGCATCGTCGATTCTTTTCTTCCCACAGTCCACTTCGTCCACGGTTTTGCTGGGGATGGAGAAGGTCATCCAGCTTGCTAAAAGCCCAGTGGATTATACTCAGTCTAGTCTTTCCAAAGAAAGCGACGATTACTCACTTGAAGATCTCGTCAAGATTAAAGGACAGATCATCGCAGCTTACAAGGTCATGGAACCGGCGATCGGATTCCTTCCGTTGGACTTTTCCATTGGTCGCTGGGGCGCAGAGGATATTAAAAGCCTCCAGAAGCCTGTGCGGAATACGCTGCTGTCAAGTTTGTCTCTCTTGGAGTTTCATATCGCGCGAGTGGGCGGACATGCCAAACTGCAAAGATTGAAAGAGACACCCTCAGAAAAGCAGGATATTGATGAAAAGGGTTTGCGAGAGGTTGGTCTACGCCAATTAACTGACAGCCTTGAACTCGTGCAGGCCATACAAAGCCCAGAGCATGAAAGTCTTCGATCGGAGAACGTCAGGACACTGAAACAATCAAGCTCGGAGATCCTTCCCGCCTGCCTGGATGCTGTAACGATAATTGTGGACTGTATTCATCTCGTCAACAAGAACCGCTGGCTTCCTTCTCGGTCTCGTGAAAAGAACGAAAAGCTTCTTGATGAGGGCCCAAAAGTCTTGGAGGCACTCCGCGTGGCGCGATCTTCATTTGCAACCAACACAACCGAAGCCCTTATTCAGACTCATGGGGCGATATTTGATGAAGAGGGTAATCTGAAGCCAGTGGATATTTTGGTGAGCCATTCTGTCCGGGGAATCATGACGGGCATGGTATTTGAGGAACGCATGCTCGCAGTAACCGATGCACTTATTAGGCTACTGGCGCATACTTTGACGCTCCTGCGGGAACGCCCAAAAACACGACTCTGGTTCCCAACGAGTCTGAGATACGCCGCCGCGTGGATATTCCGAAAGGATGCCGTTGCTCCTATTCCCGAAGAACAGGCCCCTATGACTGATCCCGACGATAACGCAACTTCCACCGACGAAGCGCAGCAACTCCTTCGAATCAGTCGTGGATACCGACCACGTCAACGGAATGGATTTGCAAAGGCTGTCCTGGGAACTTATCATTGGTTCATCAGCGCCGAGGGCATGTATGCGCTGCGTATGGTCATCGTGACCATTGCTCTGGGAATTCCCGCCGTGATTCCCAGCAGTGCGGGCTTTTATTACCGCGAAAAAGGATTGTGGGGATTGATTATGGCGCAGACAACCATGTTGGTATATATGGCAGACTTTACTTTCTCGGTGGTATGCCGGACAATCGGCACTGTTGTTGGTGGTGTCCTTGGTTTGGTGGCGTGGTATATCGGGTCTGGCCATGGAGCAGGTAATCCGTATGGATTGGCGGCTATCACTGGGGCGATCATTGTAGTGCTTATGTGGGGTCGATTGTTCTTTTCTCCGGCTCTGCTACAAGCGATTATCATGTGTGCTGCAACGTTTGTGTTGACCGTTGGCTACAGCTACGACGATACGTGAGTAACGTCCCTTCACGACTTACTGACGGCAACTAACGGATTATAGACATATTCCCCAATACGGCAACCCAGGTGTCGGCTACAACGTCTTCTGGCGCCGTCTCGTTCTCGTTCTCGTCGGAATAACAGCAGCAACCATCGTCCAGTTATTCCCCCGTCCGCCATCTGCAACTCGACACATTTCTCATTCCCTCTCCAACGCCATTCGTTCTCTGTCCGATCACTACGCCCTCCTACTTACCTGCTGGGGACACCCGGAACACCGTGAAACTGGCCAAATTGCGGAACAAATCTCCATCGATCTCGCTGAGGTGCTCACCACCCTTACCGGCCCTATCGCTCTTCTCCGCTTCGAATTCTCATCTTCCCGGTTTGATTCCCAGACCCTGCACCAGGTCCAATCCCTCTGTCACGAGCTCAACCAGAACCTGGGAAGATTGCTCTTACTCTCCGGCTCCCTACCGCTCGAGTTGCAAACTCGCTTCGCGCATAGCTTCGGCATCCTCGACCACAGACAGATAGGAGATGCAATGGCCGTCTTAGGTGTCGTCGAACAAGCCCTCAAGACCGGCGATGCATTGCCAGAGGTACTGCCCACACCATTGGTCAAACGGTCATATGAGTACTGGATGCAGCGCTCAGGAGAGTTCAAGCTAGGTGTGGACTTGGTCCGGGACGAGAATTACCGGAAATATTGCGTGGCTGTTAGTTCGTATGTGCGGTTCCTGGGTGTTGTCGACGAATTGGTGCTTGTTGTTAAGAAGACGCTGGGTGAGGTGCATGTTGTTAGTCGGGAGGTTTGGAATGTATAGTATAGCTATGTTTGTATATAGCTTTGCAAAATGATAATATTTAATCAGGACTATCAAGTCTAAATGTTACTTGCAGCGACAGAACCTATCACACATTAGCTGACGCCCAATCTCAATATGGATAACTAATCACTCACGGAACAGCAGCTTCCACCTCGCACTTTGGCTTCATACCACCAGCACACTGTAACCATTAGCTACCACCTCCAGTAACCCAATCGCCAGAAACAAGGGGCACAAAACATACTGATAAAAACTGACAATCCATATCCGAACCACACTTCTCAAGATCTGACCCCGGGCCAACAAAACGGTTCGTTCGCTCGTCGACGGGTTCGATGGTTATAGGGCCAATGCCGTTGTTGGAGGGGAGGGCGCGCGCGGTTGTTAGGGTTAAGGTGAGGGAAATGAGGGAGATGACGTTGAGTCTCATTTTCGCTTCGTTTTGTTTCCTTTGAGAATCGAATTGGTTGTGCTGTGCTTGGAAGTGACTGGATAGAAGTACTTGGTAGTGGGTATGTATAGGGGATGGAGATGGAGATGGAGGGGGTTAAATGTGGCCTGGATGTTATAGGTCATATGCAGAGTTGCCTACGTTATATTCCCGAAATAAGTATAGAACGGAGTAGTAGTACAAGCGTAAGGGGCCCTTCCTATTGTATTGCAGCAAGATAGTTCACAAACTAGTGTTTCCTCAGCGTATAATTTGCACTCCGCACTGGCAAATATGTACAAGTAGCAGCACACGATAAATTCCCAAGGTCATGAGGGCAGCACCTGTGTTGGAACCTAATGACACACAACGAACTATAGTATGAAATATTCAATCCATAGATTAATGTCCCGTCTTTTTACAGGGAGAATAGCATTTCACGATCGTATGGTATGTTACACGGTCTTCAGGGAATGGTGCGAACGAGTCAATGAACTGGTATACCACCTTTGCTTGCTAAACTCTGTGAATGTTAAATAAGGATGTGAGGGATGCTATTGCCCCTCAAATTTCCGGCGAGAAATTTACCGAGTACTATTGGCATAGTCAATATGAAATGTCCTCATTACTTGATAAGTTATCATTTCTCTCTGCACGAGGGCCACATGATACCCCAATACGCATTCATAATTGCGACTAGTTGAAGAAACAGTAAGCTTTTGGGCTCTAGATTTGCCGCAGACTTGACCAGCTGTAGCAATGCAGAGTCCATTGCTTCATCCGCCGTCAAGTCGCAAGGCTTACCTCAATCTGAAGATTATCAATGATCAATGTCGTTATCAGTTAAGTAAGCTTTTTATATGTCTTCAGCCATCTTATAAGTCGTCTCGATGCCCTGAATAGCTTTTTCACCTCAAGAAGGCAGCCGCTTGCGCAGCACCACTTTATGCCCTCAAACCGAGGCTGTCCAGAGCAACAGAAGCAAGAGCCAGCATATAGCTACCATGGCCTGCAATAATCAGTAATAATAAGACTGTATCGTAATTTGTACTCCGCTGGCAAGTTCTTCATGTCTTTGGACATGCGTTGTCAACCAGACGAAGTGCTGATATGCTAGTGCCATCCGATGTACCACTATCACTCTTTACTTATATACCAACAAAAGGTCCGTACTTCACGTTCAAGGCTTATATGTTAGCTGCGCGTTATTCTTACTAGTTAGCAGCTTCTGTGGAATTGTCAGGTGGAATACTTACCTTTGCACACTACGTAGTAGTCGCCGATCTCCACGGAGCGATATGCCCAACTGGTACGTTTCAACTCTTTCTGCTGTCCTATCGAGCACAGGCTTTTCTTATTGTTTATCCGGGGGCAAGGCTTTCACGCCAAAACCACAGGCAAAAATCGGGATGCGCTTCAAAAATAAACCTGTGATACCACAATCGAATGATATCTAGATATTAATCCAAGCAAAACCTCGACTTAACAGCCGGCCTCGCCTGCAAATTTCTCGTCGCCTCCTCAGCAAGCCCATTTCCAATGACATTGCACTCTCCACTTTAGCAACATCTGCACCTTGAACAATTCCCACCTCCATCAACCTCTTCGGAATGATCAACAACTACACCCGACACATAACACCCTGGATCTCATTTGAATCCCATCTCTCCCCTCTCAATCCCTTCCAAAATACCACCCTTCTCCTCAGGGACATCAGCGAGCTGAATTAGCACGCAAAAAAGAAAAAAGAAAAAAAGGCATCCTTGAAAATTGAAGATAACGGTGCGTGTGTGGGGATCCAGCCACCGATTTCACTAGAGCCAGGTTTCGTGTTTTGTGCCGCCACCGTGTTGCGCTGTGGGCGTGTGGTAGTAGAATGCCCAGTGAAAGTTGTTTGGGGTGGGAGGGTCGGAGCGGATGTAGAGGGCAATGTAGAAGGTGTGCGGGGGAGAGTGGATTGGGTGTAATTTTGTGCTTTTTTGTTTGAGCGTGCTTTTTCAAGCCTTTCGGACCTTGAGGGTCTGAGAAAGACATTAGAAAGGTACGGAAGTGCTCACGTATGGAAGAGAACAGAACATATCTGACTCTAAAACAAACAATCCAGATTAATCTCACGTGCATTATGTATAACATAATACAAGCATTACAAGAAACCCCCCTTGATCCTCGTCCTCACAAAATCCCTCGTCCTGATCCTCAACTCAAACATCGCATCGATCTCCCCTACACTCCGTCCCTTCATTTCCGGTACCCAAAACCACGTCCCAGCAACAGCAATCACACAGAAACCAGCATACACAAACCCCGTCATCGCGCGCAAATTCCCAGAATCTGGATTGTAGATGTACGGCAGTACCAGGTTGAAGATGATGTTGGCGAGGTTGTGGAAAAGGATGCCTAGGCCTTGGGTTTTGGCGCGAAGACGCAGGGAGGATGTTTCGCCGGCTATGGCGTAGGAGGCGGGCCAGGCGCCGAGGCTGCAGATTATTATTATCATCATTAGGGTTACGGCGGTGTACCTATAGTTGTTAGTATCTTGATTTTGGGAGAAAGCCGGGAGGGGACGTACCAGATGGTGACGACGCTGTTCCAACAACCGGCGATACCCATACTCAGCCATAAGACGGTGGTGACACCCAGCGATGACAGCGTCAACGGCCTCCTCCCAATCCGACTGGCCATCCAAACCCCAATGCCGTTCGAAAGTAAACCCAGCCCAATCCCCAATATCAGAAACACAAGACTATATTGATCCGACATCCCCACAACTTGCAGATAATAACTCGCGTTCGACAACAATGGCAGTCCAAAAAGCACCGGAATCACCATTGAAAACACCACAATCAGCGTGCGTCTCGCATTCGCTCCCCGGAAACAATCCCGATATGTAACTTCCTGCGCCCACGCCCTATCCAGCCCAATCGACTGCTGCAATTGTTCAACCACCTCCTCTACATCAATCTTAGAAATGTGTAACCGTCGCTCCGAGCGCAACGCCGCGGCACTCTTATCCCTGCGCACAAGGTACGCCGGCGATTCAGGAATAAGCAACGCCATGGCAAACGGCACTGCAGAAAACGGCCACTGCGACGCCAGCGACACAAGATACGACTTACTTGAGGTATCTCGGCTAGACACGTAAATTGCAATCGCACCGACAAGCTGCCCCAACTGCGTGAACGTGGGGAACAGCGCCATCGTCGGCCCGCGCAGACTCGTCGGCACGGTCTCCGAGATATACGTTTGCGTGACCGCGGTGACAACACCGATTGCGAAACCCTGCACGATCTTCCCGAACAAGAACACTCCACGTCGCGTGTTGATGTCCACGGGGACATTTGAGACGTATAGAATCGCGATCGCGGCGGCCGATATCAAGCTACCCCATGCTAGCGGCCAGCGGCGGCCAGATCGGTCCTGCCATGGTCCTGCGGCTGCGGCGCCGATGATCGATCCTATGAAACCGAGCGCGCTCCATAGCGACATCCATACTGATGGGATAATGTGGCGGTCTTCAAAGGGCTCGCCGAAGTCCTGCTGGAAGCGCGGGATGGCAGTTACGGTGCCGACGATGACGGTGTCATAGCCGGATAGTAGAAATGAGGAACTAAGGCCGATGCAGTAGAAGACGATTTTTGGATAGAGCGAGATTGAGTCGCGGAGGGTTTCTTCGGCGATGTTTGGTTCGATTTCGCTGGATTCGATGTGGCTTCGTTTTTTGTCTTCGGGGGGTGATGGTTCCATCTTTTGAGACGGGAAATGTGAATCATGGGAATACAAGTAAAAAAAATTTAAAAAAATTTAGAAGAGAAGGAAGAGATTATATGAAGATTGCAGATCTGCGGGGAAAACCTGCTAAGAAAAATGTGGTTGCTGTCATGCGATGATTTGCCGAATATCAACCACGCCGGATACAGCGTCGTCCTGTGGGTGTCAGATGTCAGGCAGGGTATTCAAGTAACAAATGCATTTGCTGTGCTGCAGAAATAGAATCTATGCATGTGCCCATCCCCACGGCTTCAATACATGCATCTCATTTATCAAACAGAATTCCCCCGGCTCAGTGTTCTCCCCGTACCCATCACTCTCTTCCCACCGGCGGACTCGACTACGCACTCTCCACTCCTTAAACGCATCGGTAGTCGTCCACCGTAGTACCCGATTCGCCCACAGCCCCGTGAAGATCTGCCATGGCGAGAGCCATTCATTGACAGGATGTACGGCGTCATAAGCGGCGCCATGGTAACCCACACGGACCCGTGGATTGAGAAAGGTCTCGCGGTGCAGCGCTAGGGGATTGTCGGCGTGGATAAGACAGCACTCGGAGCCTTCGAGATGCGATTGGGCCAAGGAATCGGAGATCCCCCGGAAGCGGAGATGCTCATAAAAGGGGAGGGTTGGCATGGCCACTAATCGTCCGTTAATTCTCCACCGAGAGAAAAGTACACAAAAGGTGTGGAAGACATACCCATTCCATTCCAGCAACTAGAGACCGGTACCGGAGCGAGGACCTTCATTGCCCGCCGGGACGTTGAGGATCGGAAGTACGGCCAAGAATGCGTGACATGGCCGTGGCCCTGCGAGTCACGAAGAGCAAAGGTGTCGTAATATGACGGCGGGCTTGAGAAATCCAGCGAACATGCCGCGGCATAGTCGCCTCCATTGGTGTCGAGTAATTCCAGCACATCCCCAGGCTGACATTGGCATCCTTAGCCTGGCAATAGAAAGCAAAGAGCAAGAGTGCAAACGTACTGTGAATACGACATCATTCAAGAACAAAACCGAGTCGAATACTACCCCATCCCGAGCTAACTCCTGCAACGGCTGCAGACTTTGATTCCGCAAACGGGCAAGATACGGAATCCGTCGCAATTCCCGTTCTCCCTCATCGGTATCAATCCAACCCTCGCCCTTTTCCCTATCTGGTACTTGCATGTCATCCTCGTGCGTCACATCCGACAACACGACCTTCCTTGGCACGCCCAGATCCTCCAGATCTGCGTCCAATTCCCTTATCGCGCCCTTGGTATTATCATAACTCCCACTCTCGTAGATACTCAAAAACACCCGGTCGGAACCCAACGCCTTCACCAGGTCCAGAATCGCATTATTCCAATGGCTCCGCAGGACCTCCTCGTCGTTCCAGTGGATGCTGGCGATAAATATACGTGCCGAGGGGGGAATAGCATGGTCTTGGGATCGGTCTTGGTATTGAGTGGTGCTGTCGATCCGGGCGAAATGGTTGGACAGGGAATATGTTTCAATCACGCTCCATATGAGGAAGAGAGAGATCAATCCGTGGAGAAGGCGTGGCAGCCGCGGTCTTCGGGTTCTCCGGGGCCGGGGTTTGTATAGAGTGTCGACAATCATGTCTGGGCATTACGGGTATCGACAGTTTCCGTAGAATTGAGGTCGCAGCATTGGTAGGCAGACCTCCTGGCTGGAGCTAGATGAAGGCAGACTGGTATGTAAAAAGGGGGTCTAATTCCCCTTAATGGTAAGTTCCACATTCCCAAGTAGGGAAATGAGTAAAGCTGCACAGGTAGTATATACGCCAGGATTCAATTGTAATGCCTACGAGGATAAGCGAGTTGACTCGAGATCAGATAGTGTAGTTACTCGGGTGACGCCGGAAAGGCCACAAAACGTCGTGGCCTTTAAGGTACATCTTCGTGGCATTACTTGAGACTCATCCACTTTACCAAATTTTGTGCACTTCTCGAGCCCAAAGATACAAGTTACTGGCTTGAAAACCTCAATATAAACGTCATTGAAATTTTTTGCGCTGATACCTTGAAACCTTTGATGCTGAGTATCAGCCAGGATTCCTCATTCGAGTGCGGTACTGGAGAATCTATCACTGAGGAAATGCAGAGTTTCCTCACCAATTTAGGAAAACCATGAAGTTGGTGAGTCGCCATTATAGAATATGATTGAGCATTGCCTAACCTTTGCAGCTTGAGTGCCAGCAACTCTCTGAGAGATAGTCTTATCAAAACCAGTAAATCCAAGCCATCTGTCAATGTTGACGACCGTTTATACCTCGTACATCACCTCATGGCTATCCCCAAGCAGAGGCAGCAACACAGTACATTGAGAAAGATGATGATATCCACATCAGATTGTCCTGGAATGTTGCTTGGAAGTCCAGAATACTTTAGATCCAATGATGCTCTGAAATGGGGCGGCATAGAAATCTTCATGGTCAAGTTCCTGACTATCCTAACTGCAAATTGCTCCTTATCAGGTTAAAAGATAGGCCTAATAAGGGAAAAGAAACAAGGGTTCTTTGGGAGTTCCAACCAGGTTACACTGATTGAATATGAAACTTAACAAGCTTTACAGTCCAATGTTCACTTACAGACAGAAATGACACCTTGAACTTTTTGTTGTCCAGGATTTTTTGGAATACGGCTTCCAAGATGACGTTTTTACCAGTGACCATTATGAACAACTGAGTGATATCTGGCTCTACGCTGATTTACTAAAATATCGTTTGGGCGTTCCAATACATATGAAAGATACCAAGCAGAATATACTGATCTTTCATTCGGCAGCACGGGACGATGAAGGAAACCGGATATTGTACCCAACAAGGATTTTGACGTATACCCAAGCAGCAGAGCATGAAAAACGTGTGTACAGGTCGGCAGCAGACTGAGGCTTGCGGTGATATTGGCCCTGCGACAGGCCACAATCGTTGGAAGCATAATGGTTCTCCTATGGCACTCCTGATTCTACGGCAATTGTTCCCAGGCGGTAGCATTGTCCCTGCGACACACCATGATCTCTGGAAGAAGAATTGCTATTCTAAAGAGCTCCTAATCTTATGGCGAGCTGTCGGGAGTATGCCCGATTACGTTGATTGGTCACTTGGAGCAGCAAGCATATCGATCGGCCTTTGGCGCATACGGAAGTCAACAAAATGTCAACAACCAGCGTCAGTTGTCAATCACAATGCGAATTACCAACAGTGCAAAGGATGCCAAACGGTTATACAGACGGCGAAACCCTAGTCTTTTACACAAGCGAAGCACACGAACAGTAGATAGTCTCCTTTGCTTGGCTTCCTCTTTTTATTCCTCCCCAGGTTCGATGTTTCCATCTTCTGGCTACCTATTCTGGATAGGAATATCATTGGATATTATCTACTAGTTCGCGAGTCAGAGACAATGATGTAATTACACAAGATAATTAAGTTTTGCAGAGGATAACAATCTTATGGTTTAAATTGAAGCAGCTTGAAAATGGCCTTACGCCTATTCTGTCACGGGCTCGGAATAGTAGATAATAACGAACTGAATTCCTATCTAGACTATTGTAGCCATCGACGAGAATATCGAATCTGGAGAAGAAAAGAGAAGAGGAA